AAAGGGTTGGGCTGAAATCCCTGTAGTGGAGATTCGCGTAAGAGCCCTGAATTCCGGACGTCTAGGTACACTGCTTCGACCCCGCCTCCGTCAATCACGCCGAAATGGCAAGATTCCTTGCCAACGCATTCGGGAATGGCATCATTCCCGAATGTTCACTTCACTGCTGTCTTATCGCGAAGGTATCTTCGCTCCTGATTGGTTGTTTGGGCAACCACATCACTCTCTGGCGAATGGAAAGTCAACAGCGCTGCACAACGCACGCACGTTGCAGCAGCACAGCACCACAAAATGGTTGCCGCGCGATTAGGAAACCCCCCCACCCCACCCACCCCGAAGCTGCAACCAGGTACGTGCATGGGGCGCGTCGCCTTGTATCGTGGCACGGTTAGCTTGCCAACCAAGCCCGCTTCATCAGCTCGTTCTTGCATATCCCGAGGCAGTTGCTGGACTCCCCCACCCCACACCCTAGCCCGCTAGGGTTTCATTTCTGTTCCTTCGCCCCTAGCACCAAACAATTTTTTGCACGCTCTCTCAGTGCTCGGCACGCTCTCTCTGTGCTCGGCTCGCTTTCGTCTCTGTTCCGCCATGGCTGGCCATGGCGCCGGCCTTTCAGACGACGAGGGTGACGCCGATGTAGACGACGCAGATAGCATCGCCATAGAAGAAGCCCGTACTGGGCTAGATCTTCTGCTAAGATCTTTAGGCCGCCAACTACCACCTCCAGCGCCCACTGCACCCGGTCCGGTTCCTACAGTGGCGGGTAACCCGAACGTGCCTTCCAGCCCGGATTCCATCCGGACCGTCCCTCCCGCGCCGCCCGGTGTTTCCGACACCGTTCACGTCGGCACATCGGCGTCGAAGTCGTCAGCACCGCGCACAATCAAGCTTAAGCAACAGAAACTGAGCTTCTGGAAGCCATCATCCAGCGTCCCCGTATCTGAAGCTGTTGTCAACGAAGCCACCGTGCGCCCGTCTCTGGACATCAACGTTCAAGAGATTGTTGATCCGATTTATGCCGAGGCACTGGATAAGTACAAAAGTAAGTGGATTGAGCGTTTCCCATGGCTTGTACTTACCAAAACTGTTCGTGGTCTGCCTGCTTTCAAATGCAGTCTCTGCACAAAGCACGCCGGTGTCAGGGGACGTTGCGGCAGGACAGGCAAAGGTGCTACCGACGTCCAGACGCAGGCCTTTCGCAAGCACGCCGGGACGAGGAAACACAAGCTGGCACTGGAGAAGCAAGAGGCCCTGCTTGCTGCCGCGTCTAAACAGCCCCGCATCGACGATCATCGTGCAGCGGTCGATGCAGAGAAGATCCGGGCCACGTCACTGCTTGAGGCGCTTCTGTTCATCAGCGACTGCGACGCACCCATGGGGACATGGGTGAAGCTGGTGCAGTATCTTGCCCGGAAAGGCGTTCAAGGTTTCCCTAAGAAAGGCTATGGGACTTATTATACCACGTGAGTGGTTATAACCTATGCTGTTTACGTTGTTTTACAGACGCGGAGTCACTAATGTTGTATGCCTTGTATTCTGGCAGGTACGGCTACGGCGAACTGACGCAGTCTCTGGCAACCTGGCTACAGATGACCCAGCTGGAGCATATCCTCACAAGCCCCTTCATCGGCATCGCCATCGACGAAAGCACAGACCGCGTCCGGGGGAAACACCTTATTCTTTACGCCACCTTCGTTCGGGATTCTGTCGTGGTGACAGAGTTCATGCAGTTGATCACCGTTGAGAAAGCTGACGCCTCGACCCTCTTGAGCCTTCTGCTGTCTCACTTGCAGGCCGTGGGTGTTGAGCTGCAGAGGATTTCGGGCATCAGCATCGACGAAGCGTCGGTGATGATGGGCAGTAATGCCGGACTGGTGGTTCGCCTGCGACAGCGGATTCCCCACCTCGTCTCGTGTCACTGCATCGCCCACAGGTTAGTGCCGCTTTGCATTCACCGCGTTCATTGGATTTTTTCTGCTCGGTCTACTGATTCTTTTTATTTCGTTTAATGCAGGGAAGCCCTCGCCGCTAAGGATGCGGCGGAAGATCTACCAGTCTTCAACATGGTAGACGATCTAATCCGTGTGGTGTCGGACCTGCTGGGCCGTTCCGGCCCGAAACACCAGCGCTTCATGGACCTCCAGGAGCTCTTCACCGAGACGAGCCTGGAGGTCCAGGGGATACATAGCGTCCGGTGGCTCTCTCAGGGGGATGCGTTGCTTCGCATCCTGATAGTGTGGCCTGCTGTCATTGTGTTCCTGCAAGAGTTTCATTCCGCAATGTTTTTGCTCGCCACTTCCTACCGTTTCCACTTCTTCATGTACTTTCTTGCGGATGTTCTTGAGCAGTTGAACATTCTGAACAGGGCATTCCAGCAGCGCCAGGTATGTTTGAGTGTGCATTTCCATGCCTCCGCTTGTTATTACTTGTTTGTACGCGCCGCTGACAGCCTTCCCTTTCTGACCGATGCCTGCAGTTGGACCTTGTCTCGCTGCACGGTCAGATCAAGCGCACGACAACACATATCGAGAGCCGATATGTGGATTGTGGGGACGACTTTGGCGGAGGCTTCAGTCGCTGGCTGTCGCCCTTCATCGAGCGTTACGGCCCCGGAAAGGACCGTGAGGTGACAGTGGAGGGGCCCGACTCCGATGGGCGACCAGCAACATTCAAGTTCACGCTCCACGAGGACAAGGTCAAAGGCTACGAAGGCCCGTGTGATCACGACGCCTGTGTGGAGGCCTGCACCGACTTCGCCGAGCGCATCGTGGCGAACCTGGAGAGTCGGCTGAGTGACTTGGACTCGTTGTCGGGAGTCCGACTGTTCCTGCCGGATGAGTGGCCGAAGAGCAAGTTGGAGCGTCACGCATGATGCGTTGAGTGGCTGCAGTCGCTGGTGACGCTGTTCAAGGCAGAGCAGGCAGAAGACATACTGCCAGGTGGAGTTGTGTTTTCTGTTTGTTTCAATGCCATCGTATTGTTTCTCTTTACAACCAATACACCTCCTTCCCGTTTGCTTAAGTCATCACTAAGCCCCGTCTTGCATTGTTTCCTCCCCCTCCACTTGTTGCCATGCCAGGTATCAAGAAGCGGCAGGCCCACAAAGAGCTGCGACTGTTCTGCTCCGTCCGTGCCTTTGCACCGAAGGGGGAGAGGTCTTTCCACGATGGCCTCACGGCGATTTTGAAGACTCCTGACTGGCGGGAGAGTTACCCCAATTTGGTGCTGTTGTGGGTAGCAGTGGCGGTGATTCCCCTTAGCACTGTGGAGTGCGAAAGGGGCTTCTCTCGCCAGAACGTGATCAAGTCCTGGCAGCGGAGCAGCCTCAAAGATGCACGGCTGGGAGACCTGATGTGCATGTCTCTGATGCCGTACGAGCCACGGTTCGACGAGGTGGTCGACATTTGGAGAAGCTACAAGAAGAGAAAGCCGTTCTCTAATGCCCCTATTTCCACCCCAGGGGAAACCAGCAAGAAGGGTAGAGCGACAGCTATGGAAGTAGATGAACCCCATGCTGTAGAAGATGTAGGCTCTAGTGATAGTGAGGATGAAGAAGATGACGAGGATGATGATGATCTTGATAGTTAATTGTAATTCTTACAAGATATGAGTGGATCAGACTTTCACCGCAAAACGACGCTGATCGTTCAGCTTTTTTTCTCCTAGACACCCTGGAAAATCAGTTTTTTTTTACCAACTCCACTGACCACTCAGCCATGAATCTATTCCTAAGGATGACTAGTCAGCCTACGCCAAAACGAATCTGAGGGCCTGATGCCTACTGATTCGGCATTGCTAGCTGGCCAACAATCATAGTGAAACTGCTTCTAAGAGCGAAAATCACGTGCAAGATATTGTTGGAGCGCCCGGTCTCTCAACTGATCAGCACTGTAGCATCGCTGGCTGCACTGGCAAACACTCCTAGATCTTTGGCTACTTCTGCTGACAGTTTGGTAACCGCGTTACCAGATTCGACACCATCGCCACCATCAGCACGGCCAATCTCGCTGCAGTCGCCGCCACTGCCACCACCGCTGCTGCTGCCGCTGCTACTGCTGCCGCTGCTGCCGCTGCTACTGCTGCCGCTGCTGCTGCTGCCACCGTTACCACTCTTGCTGCCAGTGGTGCTGCCGCCGCCAAAGCCACTACCGCTAAGCACAGTATCTGGTGTGACTATATGGGGGGTGGTCTCGATTATTAGTGGCCCGCCTAACACCTGTGTAACAACCATGGGCCAGCGGGGAACAGAGAGAGCCACAACCTGCAGCAGAATACCGAGGAGCGCTATAAAGAGGGCAAGAATGCTGATGGCGCCTATTGATACACCTCCCCCACTAGTGAAGAAAGAAAATCCGTTAGTAGCAGCACCGGTACTAGCACTGGTGCTGCTGCTGAAACGCCTGGTGGGGTTGCGGGTAAAAAATGGGCTGGTGCGCATAAGGCTGCTGGAATGGATGGTGCTGGTGCTGTAACCGTTGCTGCTCCTGCGGTTTCGAGCAGCTTGCACGCAAGCGAAATGGCGGGCGCAGTTGGGTGGGCAGGCAGAGGAGGAGGAGGAAGAGGTGTTAGGGGTGGTATTAGTGGTGGAAGAAATGAAAAAGGAGTTTACCCAGGAAATGAGCTGCAGTTTCAGCTGATGCTGCTGAATCGAACCGGAACTTCGTGGAATCCAGGAGGGCTGCTTAGTCAGAGACCCATCGCTTCTTCCTCCCCCTCGTCCACCACCCACCATTGCAGTGCCTGCTTGTGTGGCATACTGCTGCTGTGGGCATGGATGCCCTTTCTGCTGCTGCTGTATGTGCTGCTGCAGGCTCGCACTCTCAGACGCACCTATTCCGGTCCCCTCCTTTTCATTAAAGCCCGATGATGCTTCGCTGCGACTGCGGGGTGACTGGGATACCTCCACCCCTCTCAGAGGGGGCGGTGCAAATCTTACCCATGGCCGGTCAGAAAGAAACATTTTGGGAGAAGCGGGGCCGAAGGGGGCAAATGAGTTGACACTAGGAGGGTGTGATTGTGGCGAAGACTGGGAGGAGGAGGAGGGTAAGGAGGGGACGAGGATGGAGGTGGGGGAGGAGAGGGAGGAGTGAGAGGAGGGAGCAGAGGAGGAAGAGGGGAACGGGAAGGAGGAGGAGGAGGAAGAGGAGGAGGTGGTGGTGGTGGTAGTGGTGGTGTTGCTGGGAGGGGAGGGTGTGGCTGATGCTGACGTGGAGGATGGTGATTGGGCGAAAGAAAGGATCCATGGGTGTTGCAGCAATTCCCGGATAGAAGCACGCGTTTGGCGATCTCGGTCCAGCGCTCGTTTTAAGAACGAGATGCAAAGGGGAGACAGCAAGGGTTTCCCGTGAAGCTTTTCCTTTCCCGCTGAAACTGTTGGTTTAAATCCGGGCAGGGTGTCCAGCGGGCAGGTCAAAATGTTTTTGCAGGTCGCTTGCCTGCCCGGCACTTCGAACGGCGGGCGACCCATCTGCAATTCGTAGGCCAAAATCCCGCACGCCCAAACGTCAACTTTTTCATCATAGGGCAACGCGATTCGGTAGGCCTCTTCCTGACAAATGATTGGCCGATCCATCCCAAGAGGCATGCACGGAGCCGCGTGCTCGCGTCGCGAATCGTCCCCCCCGTCCCCAACCCCACCCCCACCCCCATTGCCCCCTGTTCCCCCGTCCGCTTCCCCCTTTCCCCCGTGCGATTTCCCCACGCCGAAATTCCAGTTCCTTCCACTAGACTGTCGCGAGGTCGAGAGCTTTTTCGATTTCTGCCTCTGCAGCTTCGACCCTTGCGCGAAACTCTGACTCTCCGCGGGTTCCGCGGAACTGCCGCGCGCAGCACTACCGGCGCCCGCGCTAGCGCCATCCGCGGAAGCAGTCGCAGTCGCAGAAGCAGTCGCGGAAGCGGAAGCGGAAGCGGAAGCGGAAGGAATAGACTGAAGCAGCTCGGGCGCCATGTAATCGAGTGTGCCGACGCGCGCGCCGGGCAGATCGCGCATCGTGCAGATCGCGAGGCCGAAATCGGCGAGTTTCAGCTGCCCGTCGGCGGCGAACAGAATATTTTCTGGTTTGACGTCGCGATGGATGATGGCGTTCGCGTGCAGATATCGCAGGATTTGTAACAGCGGCGACATGATTTCGCGAACGACTATCGCCTCCGGCATCTGCCCGCAAAACTCGTTCATCAGCCTCTGGTAAACGTCCCCTCCCGCCGCAAATTCCTCCACGATCACCGTCTGCTTCCGCCTGTGCTTCCCCCGACTCCCCCCACCCACACTCCCCCGCCCGCCGCCGCTCTTTCCCCCACTCTTCCCCCCGCTCTTCCTCCCGCTTTCCCCCCCGCTTTTCCTCCCGCTTTTTCCCGCGCTTTTTCTCCCGCTCTTCCCGCCACTCTTGCGGAAAATAGCGCCGTGACCTAACCGGTGCTTCCCTTTCCCGCCTCCCCTGCTGTTCGCGTCGATCGCACTCTCAATCCTGCTCGCATCGTCGACGAAGCTTCCGAGAAAGCCGATAGCGTGCTTGTGTCCCCGCGTCTGGCGCATACACCAGATCTCCCGCTCGACCTGCTTCTGCATCGCAGCCGTCTGATGCCGGGCAGAATAAATTTTCAGCACGACCCTCCGACCCGTCCTGCAGTGTGTCGCGGCGTAAACGGTCGCCCACCGCCCTCGCCCGACCATTTTCAGGTCGGCGAAATCCGCGACGGAGTTACAGGGCGTTAGCGACCAATCGACGGACTTAGACGACTTGCTGTGCGATCGCCGATGCTGCTTGCGCGATGAGGAGGAGGCACCACCACCAGCGCTATCATTGCCATCACCAGCAGCACTGGAACCACCAGAAGCACCCGCAGCAGACGCGTCAGCTTCGCGGATGCTGACCGCAGCGCCGCCGGCGGTGCCGTCTCGGGCCGTTACAAGGCCGCCCGAATCACCGTCGTTTTCCGAGTCGGGGGTTAACGTGCCGCCGTCAAGTCCCCAGCAACGCCGCGGCTCCGCGGGAGGCCAGCCGGTAGCGTCCGCCGGCCAACATTGGCGGGCGACACGGCTGAATTGATCACGGCACCGTTGGAGTAATCTTGGCCGTTGATTGTCAGCGGGGGGGTTGCTGTGAGAGTCAGGGAAGGCGCCAAAGGGAAAAAAGGGGCGTAAAGAAAGGGAGGGTGAGGGTGAAGGGAAGAAGAGGAGGCACTAAGGGAAGACGGGAGGTTAAGGGGACGAAGGAGGGAAAAGGGGACGAAGGGGTGGCTGGAAGACGGGAAGGCCTCGTCGGCGCGACAGCCGATTTTTAAGTCGACTCAAAATCGACTCATCACAAGTTGGAAGACGGAAAGTCCTCGTTGGCGCGGCAGCAGTCGGAGGACGAAAATGCGGCGGAGAGGAAAGGAAGACGGAGCACGAAAGGCGTGGAAGGCGGAAAAGGTGCGAAAAGGGGAGGATGAACGACACGAGGTAACAGGAGGGAGGGTTAAAATTAACCAGTGGTATAAGGGCATCAGACGAGTCAAACCTTGCTGAAGCCTTTCTTGAACTTGTGCAAAACTACTAACATGGTTCGATCTTGCGGTTATTCAAACCGCTAGAAAGAAGGGGTCCCATACGGAAGGGAAGGCGAGGGGGAGTTGAGGCGCCGCAAGGGTCGGTTCCATACCTGCGGGTGCTGGTTGGTGTTTGGTCTTCGGTAAGGCGAGAGTGGCGGCTAAGCCGAGTGTGCGCGCACGCCAATCCGCTTGACATCCATCCCATACTGATGCTATTAATGCTGTGCGACCTCGACACACACACTAGGTGATCTCCTCTGCGGATGCTCTATCTACATATTCGCCAGCCGAGGTATGTGCCAAATTGTCGATGCGCATGCGCATGCGCTGTCTGGTCAGGTGAGCTGACAGACGAACCGAATTAGTGCCAAGTGTACTGATTCTTGAAGAAGAACTTATCGGAACAATAACAGCCCTTAGAAACTAGCAGAGCCCCTTCAAAGCTCTGGTGGCAGTCCAACGTATGGGGATCGAAAAAAAACTATGGAAGTAACTCTAGGAGGCGGGGTTGCTACATACGTCAGCTTTGGAAAGCTATGAGTGCTCCTTCCTCGAACTAACTAGAATGCGATACGGAGAAAATGGAATGGGTGTCTGAAGAGAAGACTGAAGGACCAGAGGGGAACGATGAGCCGCTTTGCGGGAATGCAAGGGAATCGAATAAAAGGTCTGGGTCTGGAAAGAATCTACATCCTTTTGCTTCAGTTCACGAACTCCTGCGACCGTCGTGTTCGCCTTTGCTGTGCTGTGTATCTGAGTTACGAACATGCTCCCGATACAGCACAGCAAAGGCGAAGACGACGGTCGCAGGAGTTCGTGAACTGAAGCAAAAGGATCGCATTCATCAAGGACCATGATGATGACCCAGTGCATGAAATACAGATGGCACGGTGCACCCTCGGCACTTCTTTTCGTGGGCTGGACAAATGGCACATGCGTGGCCGTTACTTGTGGTGCGACCCAGGGAAGGGCGCGACGCTGACCTTGTTTGGTTCGAGTGTGCCGAGCCGATTAAACATCAGCCATGGTTCGGTCTTCAAGGTTTCTGGTGTATAGTAGATGTTTTAGTCCGGTGCAATTCCTCAAACCGGACAAGAAACAGCTTCGTTCGGTTGGGATGTGACAGAAGACCTTGTTCCAGACCTGACCAGGAGCACTCACGTGTCGATGCCCTACGCTGAAAATGGCAGGCGGGAAATCACGAGCATTCCATTGCCGCGAATGCAGCAAGTGCCAGCAAATTTAAAGCCCGAGTCTAGAATGGTAAGGCTTCAAGATTACTGAACTTGAAAGGTGTTGGGAAAGCGACGGAATGGGCAAGCGATGGTCATGTGAAGGCCAGCGACATGATGGGAGAGCATGGGAGACACTCAGAGTTAGCGTGGGCGACGGACGCGGGAAGGGGGAGCCACCTAAAAGGCGACGGGAGGGGAGGCGAATTCAAGTTCAAGAATCTTGAACTTGAAAAGTTGCCATTCTAGACTCGGGCTTTAATTACCGATGCTGTAATACTGTACAAATATAAAATTTTCAGTGGACTGTAGGAGGCTTCTGTGGCCGCGAGCCAATTGATCCCGTCACAGCTTGAACTGATGGTGGCACTGGAAGCCCAAGCCTCAGCCCGAGACGAAACATCCAAAGCAAGCCTACAAACGCGTTCGGCCCAGAGCTCCCAGCCATGCGCGAGCCAATATCCCCAGTACTGTGGTTTTAGTTATTCAAAACAATAATACAGTAAAGAAACAATAATCGAACTTGTATATACTTAAAAATCAGAAATTCATCTGGAGGAGGTACTACTGTGGTAGGACCAAACTAGAGCTACACTTCCGAAGGCGTTTTTGTAACGAGAGAGTCAACGGCGTGCACTGCGCCTTGAAGCTCCTCCCAGATTGCCCGATACACCATGCGCTGCCTGTCCAAGCTGCGCTTCCCCTCAAACAGCTTCGACACCACCTCAATGCTGCCAGCAAAATCACGAAACAAGGTTGGGTGCCAAAAGGAAACGGTTTAATATTTTGACCTTTAGGAGTATCATACGGGCTGAGGGAGAGTACCAGGATTAAAGATAGGACCACGACTGAAGTGCGGGGAATGACTCCAGGAAGACCATGACAGCAGCTTGTGCAATTTGACTCTCAAGGTAAAACCATTATGCCACTCTCATTACAAGGACACAAAGGCACAATGCTGCCAGTGGACCTGGCCATGAGGTTGCGGGGAACTCTTGACTGCGGGGATTTGGTGTGCAGTGGGTGAAGGGAATGAGGGATAGCGAAACAATGAATGTTCCAGAAAAGGTGGAAAGAAGGAAGCGATGAAGGGGTCGGGGAGTGGGGGGGAGGGGGGGGGGGGGGGGGGGGGGGGAGGGGGAGGGAAGGGGGAGGGTGGGGGTGGGGGGTGATGGAGTGGGGTAGGGGAATTTGACAGCGGCACCATTGTGTTGAATGATGGACTCTCAAAGGACCCACAAACAGACAGCAATTTACCTAACGTGCTGACCGTCGCCGTTGACATCCACAACAGTCACATTGTCAGCCTCCAGAGCTAGGGCGATCTGCCATATTGGGAGGAGGAGGGTGGGAGGCAGGGAAAGAGGGACATGCCCATGAGTCGTGCCTCTCTCGTTACCAACGGTAACATTGTCAGCCTCCAGAGCTAGGGCGATCTGCCATAGCGGGAGGAAGGCGGTGTGAGGCAGGGAACGAGGGACATGCCTATGGGACGTGCCTTTCTCGTTGTCAGCCTCCAGAGCAGAGCTAGGGCGATCTGTAGCCATGGGAAGAAGAGGGTGGGAGGCAGGGAAAGAGGGACAAGCCCTTGAGATGTGCCTCTCTCGTTACCAACAGTCACATTGTCAGCCTCCAGAGCTAGGGCGATCTGTAGCCATGGGAAGAAGAGGGTGGGAAGAAGGGAACGAGGGACATGCCTATGGGACGTGCCTTTCTCACTGACAGCGGCGATCTGCCGTAGTGGGAGGAAGAGGGTGGAAAGCAGGAAATTGAAGGACATCGATACCAACGGTCACACTGTCAACCTCCAGAGCTAGGGCAATCTGCCACCATGGGGAAGAAGCGGGTGGGAGGCAGGAAATGAAGGACGTGCTTATGGGACGTGCGTTTCTCGCTACGCAGCAAGTCGAGTTTTGAGTCGACTCAAAACTCGACACATGGGGAAGAAGCGGGTGGGAGGCAGTAAATGAAGGGCGTGCTTATGAGACGTGAGTTTCTCGCTACGCAGCACAGCGGCAGCGGCATGCTGAAGTGCCGAGAGCATGTGTGATCGCACGCACGATCGTGTGCTGGCAGGTGTGAAGCCGTAATGCGTGCGTGATCCCCACAGCAGAACGGGATAACGGTGATTATGCATGGATAGTCCATGGATGAAATAAGAAAAAACTTCAGTACTCATCGGATGGGGGGAATTCATGGATTCTGTCATCGAGTGAAAGAACAAAACCGCCAGAGTCAACGCGTTGAAAGTGCGTGTAAGCATCGGAGACGTCTCACAAACGGATTTAAACGCAGCCTGAATCAAAGAAGAGAAATTTGGAAGCCGTCACTGGCGTTTCCCTTCCGTATAGTAACCGCCGCCTTCTCATTGTGTCGAAAGTGGATCACATCAGAACCTATCCGAGCCAGCCATGGCTTTCCGGTTTTGCCGCACTTACCTTTTCTCGCATGGCGGTGGCCGTTGCGGAGTTCACGGCGCCAGGTCCGGAGACCTCAAATGCGCGGAGCCGCGTGGATGGTCGGCCTTGATTGGCTGCAGAGTGGATCCCTCGTGACCGCGGCTTCGCTGATTGGCTGTGACTGATCGCCCGGCATGGCGCTACAGCGACGCGTACGACAGACGTCGTGCGGCAGGTAGAGGATCGCAGGAAGCTCGCAGCGAGTCGCAGGGAACCGACGGTGCGGACGACAGTGGCAGCCATAGTGGACTTTTCGCAAGGAAAATGGAAATGAAGCGAGTGTTTGCCGAGTTTCTGGGTGCTCTTTGTGAGAAAGGATTATATGAAAGGGGACAAGTCGGGGAATATTCAGGCGCTCAACCGTTTTGGATCTACCTCATATTGCTCTGTTACGCAAAGCAGCGCATCAAACCGAACTCGTTGCCTGAGTCCTGGATTCGTTCACCTGGTGGCTGGTGCAAGTTGAACCAGGACTTCGAAAGATGCATGTACGTGTTAGCGGAGCTGCTTCTGGAGAAGTCGACGTGGATCGTGGAAAGCTTTCGGTGCCACGTGGGAGCAAGTTGAATTTCCATCATACATAGCCTTTTGTATCACCAAACACTCATTCAGTTTTCATCTTTGTGTTGTTTTCAAGTTTCACAATAACGGAACAGAACTGTCTGGTGTCCTTCCTTGCCCCTCTCTATTTTCCCGCTGCGGCACGCAACTCAACCCATCTCTGTTCCTTCTTTCTCCCTCGTGTCCCGTCACGCTCGACGGCAAACTTCGAGGTCACTGTTGTACTCCATTTTGTGTCTTGGGAATAGCTCCCGTCAGCCAAATCCTATTGGTTAGACTTTGCTCTAGTGGTCCCAATTCGAGGCTCCTTGAGAGTTGACAGGAAGCCTTTCCCAACACGTATTTGAGATCCGGCGATTTCTGAGTTTTTCGAAATAGAAAGCTGAACACACGTAGCCTGAAGCTGTCCGATTCAAACTTCCATTGTAACGTCAATTCCGTTTAAAGCTTTGTGCGATCCTTGCGTAGCGCTACTTCGAATTTAGTTTCTCCTTTGGAGCCTTAGAAGCAGTACTTTTTTCCTTCGAATCCATTTCATTCTCCCGGCTGTCCGTCACATAAGCTCGCGAGTGTCTGAGTGGCGACACTTTTGTAAGTTCTTGAGGTACGTCTCATCGAGGACGGGCTTGGGACAGCGTGACATTTACTGTCTTGAGTTCAGGGTGAGGAAAAGGAAAGTACCGAAGCGCGTGAAGAAGGGATAAGAAGAACCACTAACGGCGGGCTAAAAGAGCATGCGGTTCTAGTATTGCTGCTCAAGTCTCCTATCACATATCCTCCACTTTTTAGAATTCTCAGGACTGATTCGAGCGTAACCTCCAGTCTTTGAAGAGCGATGTGCGGTCCCCTTTCACCCCTGCAGACACCTCGCTCTTATGCCACCCAGATCCCTCCCATCCCTCTCACATCCCCGTTATCAGCAGCCCCGAGATGGAGAACATCCAGACGATGTGGAATGACGTCACGTCTTTCTTCTCGCCTGCAGACACTCTGCCATGGACGGACGAGAAAACTATTCAGGTCAGTACAAGCGTTCCACCATGTACAGCCGTTCCCGTGACATCTTATAACAGCACAGAGTTTATAATGGTTAGCACAACCATTCGGGTCAGCACAACCATTCGGGTTAGCACAACCATTCGGGTCAGCACAACCATTCGGGTCAGCACAACCATTCGGGTCAGCACAACCATTTGGGTCAGCACAACCATTCGGGTTAGCACAACCATTCGGGTTAGCACAACCATTCGGGTTAGCACAACCATTCGGGTCAGCACAACCATTCGGGTTAGCACAACCATTCAGGTCATTAGATGATTACTGAGTCCACTTTAACATTCCTGCCAAAGACGGACAAGATAATCATTCAGGTGAGCACAACTGTTCAGGCGTCTGCAGCCATCCCCGCGACCCCGGGCAACAAGCAACAGCGAGATACAACCCAGCTCTATTCTATTGTGCTCTCCCTTCGCCTCTCCTCCTTACCACTAGGCGTATGAGAGGGACATGCTTGACCCGGGCCTGCAGTCAGCGGTGGAGGGCAGCCTGAGGAAGCTGGGGTGGGGTGCGCTTGTTCACTCTTTCTTAACAAAGCCGATTCCCCCTCCCCTGCTTGCTGCCCGGCGTGTGAGAGGGACATGGTGGATCCAGGGCAGACAGCAGCAGCGAGGGAAAGCCTGATGAAGATAGCGTGTGGGCTTGTTAACGACTTCCTTTTTATTTGTGCTTCTCCTTCTGTACCATGCCAGGCGTGTGAGAGGGACATGGTGGATCCAGGGCAGACAGCAGCAGCGAGGGAAAGCCTGATGAAGATAGCGTGTGGGCTTGTTAACGACTTCCTTTTTATTTGTGCTTCTCCTTCTGTACCATGCCAGGCGTGTGAGAGGGACATGGTGGATCCAGGGCAGACAGCAGCGAGGGACAACCTGATGAAGCTGGCATGGGCGCTGGTTTAGAACTATTCTAACAAGACTCGTTCCCCCGCCCTTGCATGCCAGGCGTGTGAGAGGGACATGGTGGATCCAGGGCAGGCAGCAGCAGCGAGTGACAACCTGATGACGCTGGCGTGGGGGCTGGTACACTCGCTCTTAGCAAAGCCCATCTCCCCGTCCGCTTCTCCCCCCTTTCCCCCCCAACCCGGCTTCCTTGTGCCAGGCGTGTGAGAGGGACATGCTCGATCCAGGGCAGACAGCAGCAGCGAAGGACAACCAGATGAAGGGATTGGACGCTGGTGCATTCATCTCTTAACAGAGCCCATCTTCCCCTCCCCCGTCGTCCCTTCCCCCATCTCCTTGTGCCAGGCGTGTGAGAGGGACATGCTCGATCCAGGGCAGACAGCAGCAGCGAGGGACAATCTGATGAAGCTGGCGTGGGCACTGGTGCATTCAAGGAGAGAGGCGGACGTGGTGCGAGGGATTGCCATGCTGGACGGTGAGTGGGAGGGGGGTGAGCGGGCTTGTGGGTGGGGATGCGTGCGGGGAGAGTACCTTGTGAGACAACTGGAAGGTGGTCGCTGGTGCATTCAAGGAGAGAAGCGGACGTGGTGCGGGGGATTGCCATGCTGGACGGTGAGTGGGAGGGGGGTGAGCGGGCTTGTGGGTGGGGATGCGTGTGGGGAGAGTACCTTGTGAGACAACTGGAAGGTGGGTGTTGGTGCATTCGAGGAGAGAGGCGGACGTGGTGCGAGGGATTGCCATGCTGGACGGTGAGTGTTGAGTCGTCTTGGTGGTTGTGGGTGTACTTGTGGGAAATGTGTGTTATTGATGAAGCTGGCATGTGCGCTGGTGCATTCAAGGAGAGAGGCGGACGTGGTGCGAGGGATTGCCATGCTGGATGGTGAGTGGGTGGAGGGGCCTCGTGTGTGGGGATGTGAGTGGGGACAGCACCTTATGAGTCAACTGGTGGGCGCTAGTGCACTCGAGGAGAGAGGCGGACGTGGTGCGGGGGATTGCCATGCTGGATGGTCTTGTGTATGGGGGAGAACATCTGAGTGCGTGGGGGATAACATTTTTCGAGTGCGTGGGGGATAACATTTTTTGAGTGCGTGGGAGAAAACTTTTTTTTTAGTGCGTTCCCTTTAAGGCACGACGTGCGTCCCTTCGAGCCATGAGGTGCTTTAACTCAAGGCAGTAGGGTGGGGTGTATGGTGGTGGGATAATAATACTCGCTTTCCTGTTTCCTTCAATCCAATTTTCCCCACCTTCTAACAAGCAGAGCAGCATAGGGGGGTGACAAACACCAAGGACAGGCACGAGGTGCTATACCTCAAGGCTGTGGGGTGCTACCTACCTACCTAGTCAAGTCACCAAGTCATCAAGTGGTCTCTGTCGTCCCTTCCCTTGTATAGAGCAGAGCAGCAGAGCGGAGCGACAGGCGCTAATGCTAGGCACGAGGTGCTCTACCTCAAGGCTGTGGGGTGCTACCGGACAGGGGATGGGGTGCTACCGGACAGGGGATGGGGTGCTACCGGACAGGGGATGGGGTGCTACCTACTTTGTCACCAAGTCATCAAGTGGTCTCCGCCGTCCCCTTCCCTTCTCCCCTTTTCCCCACCTTGTATAGAGCAGAGCAGCAGAGGGGAGCGACAGGTGCCAATGACAAAGCACGAAGTGCTTTACCTCAAGCTGTTGGGTGTATGGTGTGTGAGGTAATAACCTGTCTCCCCTTTGCTCTTTTCCCTTCCACCTGCCTTTTCCAACAAGCAGAGCAGCAGAGGGGAGTGACAAATACCAAGGACAGGCACGAGGTGCTTTACCTCAAAGCGGTGGGGTGCTATCGCGCAGGCGACCTGCAGCAAGCCAGGCAACTCGTGGAAGAAGCACTTAAGGTGAGAAAAGGAGAGTGTGATAGTGATTGGGTGATAGCAGGGGGTGTGATAGTAGGGAGGTGTGTGGTGGAGACTGGCTGGTTGGGATATTCCAATGCAGTGAGGCGCTTCTGGGCAGGCGATCTGCAGCAAGCCAGGCAACTGCAGCAAGCCGGGCAACTGCACCAAGCCGGACAACTGCAGCAAGCCAGGCAACTGCAGCAAGCCAGGCAACTGCAGCAAGCCAGGCAACTGCAGCAAGCCAGGCAACTGCAGCAAGCCAGGCAACTGGTGGAGAATGTGCTTAAGAAGGTGGAGCATAGAATGTGCAAGGGAGAATGAGTGGGGGAGAGGAGGGAGGGATACATGTGAGCATGAGTGCATATGTGCAGCGATCGCATCTCTTTGTTGCCATTCTGCACAGAAATCACTCGTTATTATCCATTCCATGCACCCCAACTTACAAGCTTTGCCATTTCTTTGGTCAACCCCACTCTCCCACTGTTCGCAGCTTTCGCCCTCATTATGGAGAATGCAAGTGCTTCAAAGCTTTGCAACCTAACAGAAACGCTCTTACCCTTCTTTGGCCATCTCCTTTATTGTCTACCCCGTTATTGTGCTCAGCTGTCACCTTCATCCCACCAATGTGCCTGTCTCAAGAAGTGCATAGAGAGCAAGATAGCCTCAGGTACGAGCTCGTGCCTGATAGCATCAGCACGCACACACACACACACACACACACACACACACACACACACACACCTCACCTTCATCCCACCAAGTTTTCTGCCTCAATATGTTTATAAAGAGCATGACAGCATCAGGTACTAGCGGCCTCAGAAACAAAGCCCTCATGGCAATAGCATGATAGCATCAGGTCGCCGTTATTGTCGGCCCCTTGACTCTTCTCACTTCTGCTGGAAAATTGCTTAGTTTGCAAGACAGCCTCAGGACCAGCAGTGGGAGGCAAGGATCAAGTAGCCTCTGCTGCAGGCAACTTTTTTGACAAATATTCCAGCTTAAACTTCCAGCTCGCCTCCCTCACCTTGCAGCTTATTGTCAGCTTACTCCTGTCAAAATGTGGATTTTTATTTTTATTTTTTTACTGTACCATGGTTCGATTTGAGTGGTCGTTGCTGCTACAGATTTCACTGTTATCGGAGCTGCTGCTGCCGCATCGATGTCTGGTGTTTGCCAATTATATTTCCCTCTCAAAACAACTGCTCCTATGTGCTCGTTTCAGATGGAGTGATTGGAGTGGGCATTGCTGCTGGCGCTGTTGCTGTCATCGGCGCTGTTGCTGCAGCAGCCATTGCGGGGGGGCGCAGATAACCCTCTTCCACTTGTTTGTACCGCATCCATCAGTTTATGTATACGTACAGCTAGTATTGTGATGTCAAGTGCCTAATGAGCGTTAGTCAGATTGTTAGATCATGGAGTGGCAATTGAAGTTCACAACGAGTGACGAGGATGGAGGATGGTTGGGATAGGGTGGATAATAGTAGCTGGCAATGTCTGCTTAGTATAGAACTGCACACTTACGGAATGTGGTCCATGTAGGTCTTATTTCAATTTTATGTGATGAAAGGTTTTTCACCATATGTTTCATTTTTTTGTGCCGTAGTTCCTTTGTGTTGTGACTAAAACAATTTCAATTCGAGCATACCTTCCACGCATCAAATTCAATCATCCCAGCCGCAGGCTTTGTGATAGAAACGAACTCCCTCGGTCTTTCTCCCGTGGCGCATTTTCCCGTGGTTGTTCTACCTGCGTTTCGGCTTGATCTTGGCCAATAGAAAAGGGAGTCGCACCTTGCGCCGGGACTGACGGGCCCCTGGCAGCCCCTGCCGCCAGCATTGAAGCCTCTCCTGGCGGCTCGAAAACCAATCAGGTTTCAATTTCAATGCATGGGCTTCCCCCAGGCAAACGAAGTTGCGCAAATTCTAGCGGAAGTTCAATGCGGAAATTCAAGGCGTTATTTCAAAGGCGCAACCGACAACATTTGATTCGTCGAGGCCGTGCCGGATCAGAATGCGGGCAGGCCCCCTTGTGCCCAAATCCAAAGGTGAACAATTTCAGCCCCCCAAAACTCTGCCCTTGTAGAGGTAAAACCAAACATATTTATTCCCCGAGATCAGACCGAACTGCGCAGACGAATGTTGGCGGAGGCCATTTTACTTGGCCCCTTTTTTGCGCCTTCGCTCGCCCCCTCTTTGCGCCTTTTCTGTGTTCAGCTGGGCTCACCAAGCCGATCCGAGCGCTGACCACACACTAACACAACACAAGCACTCACACACGCACAGAGGGACACCCACCTCGCACCGCTCCCTCTTTTGTAGCATCTACCATTGTCGCAACGCAAAGATCAAGTTTTGTTCCCTCACTCCTCCCCCCAGCCCCTTAGCTTACTTGCTCGCGCTCGCACAAGCCAGCCCTGAATTCTGCTTCCTTCGAGCCGTGGCCTTGTTCGGGTCGCGAGCTCCTGCTATTCCATGAGTCTCTTCAGGAACGTATCTGATCTGCTCTCGCCACCGACGCGCCGCGTCTGAAAGCGCTCTGGTAAGTAAGGCCTTACTTCCTACAGCTCTAGCTAGCAGCCCTGGCGACCGCGAAACGAGCGAAGCAACAAATTCCTCATGCTCTTAGATGCCGTCCCTTCGCCCGTAGGAGTTCAAACTCCAGACCAGACTCTAGTCCGTCCGTCGCACCGACCACGACGTAACGAAACTAGAAAGCACCCTTGCGAAAATGTCACTGTCAAGTCGGATACGCGCTTCCATGGGGACCTATCCGTCCGAGAGACTGCTGCTGTCCAGTGGGAGGGCCATCAACAGTTGTGCATAGGTGGCATCTTGCTCTAGCACGTGTCGCCTAGGGTGTCGTGGTGGTCGCATGAGTGACTCGCGCATGCGGCATTTCGCCTTTGAGGGGCCTCAGAATCAGAGTCGACCGCATTTGCCTCATTCACTTAGACTCGTCGTCGGCGTAACCGACCCGCTTATCCCGCGTCACTCCAACAGGCGAAAAATCCTTCGCCTGTGGCATTGGCACATACAGTCCCTCCCTCCTTACCCATGCGGTCATTAGCACACAATGTCGTGTTAGGAATTCTCTAGTCGATTCAAGAAGGTCGCAGGGGCTCGCAGATTCAGGGGAAGTTTGAGAGTCGGCCTTTCTCGCTTGCTGTCTGATGCGCGTCGTGTGAATGCTTGCCACAATAGCTTTTCGTTTTGGTTGCAATCCCCAGTATCGTCCCGCCTCCTCTCCTTTTTCGGCGCTAGATCTCAGATGCTAGAGCGATTACTGAAAACGCATGCGTTTAGCTTACCGGTGCACACGCGATTAGCTTACCGTAGTATAGAGATCCACGACTCAACCTGATTGAAGAACGATTCATTAATCGGATTTCGCAGTCCGCCCGTAGCCAAGCCAAGCTTCGTGTCGAGTGGCCGAACACCTATCGTGTATAATCCTCACGAGACGCAATAACGGGAAAGACACTGATATACAGGCACTGAATCAGAAGGCCCCGTGATAGACGGCGATATACGCGAGAAATTCGCAAAGCTAATCAGAATCAGATCGGATCTGTCTGCGTCTTCATTATGCCGTGCAGATTTCCTCGCTTTCGGCAGTCTCCAACGCCGTCGAGCGACGCGGCAACATCGTTGGCGCCGCAGTCGCAACTGCCGATGGAACGGGAGCAATCCACGTCGCCCATGCGACGAGCGACGTCTTCGCGACTGTCGCCCGCATCGCATTCTCTCGCAACGGTGCTCCTCGCGCTGCGTCTCCTCCTCATCGTCTCCCTGGCGGTTCTTTCCGCCACGTTCCCCCTATCGTGGACTTCCGCCAGATATGTCTTCCGCAGACCCGCCGCGGAACCCGCGCAAGTTGTCGAGAAATCCGCGCAAGTTGGGTTGGAAGCGCAGCAGTCGGCGGAACTTCAACTAGGGGAAATCGCAACAGACGCTGATCCTGTAGCAGTGGGGCCAGCAGCGGCGAGCAGCGTGGCGAGTAAAGCGCCGGGCAATGCGGCAGAAAATGCGGCGGGCAGAACGGGGCTTGCGCTCGACGCCCCGGTGCGGCGACCTTGGGCGACAGCCCACATCATGCGACGAAGCCTGCGATCTCTTGCGGAAGTTTTCTCTTCACGAAGAGCTCGCCGATCCCTCGCGACGAATTTCCCCATAATCGACGTTCTTAAAACCGTCATGCAGAAAAACGGCGGCGCTTCCACTTCAACCACCACGACCGCAACAAAATCTCCACCCAAACCGCCCCAGGATCCTAAGGCTATAAAGAGTCCGAAAACCCCCAAAAGCCCGCCCAAGCCTCCTAAATCTCCTAAACTTCCGAAGTCTCCTAAACTACCCAAGTCGCCCAAGCCGCCTAAGAGTCCCAAAACCCCCAAGTCTCCCCCGAAACCCCCGAAACCCCCGAAATCCCCCAAACTCCCGAAATCCCCGCCAACAGTACCGCATCCCCCCCAAGGGGGAGTTCTTGCTCCGCCTTCGAATCCCCCCCCGCTCGGTTCGATCAGGGGGGAAGAGGCCCCGCCATTCGGGGTTTCCGCTCCACCATCCACCTCCCCGCCTTTTCCGCCTGTCCTGCGAAGCCCGCCGCCTGGAGCGCCGGGAACCGTGCCGGGGAACGTGCCGTTGCCTGCGGCGGGGAAGGATTTCAGCGTTACGGCGTACGGCGCGAAGGGCGACGGCAAGACGGACAACACGAATGCGTTCCTCCGGGCGTTCGCCGCCGCTTGCGCGTGGGCCGCGGACGCGGACGCGGGGAATGGCGCGGGCGCGGGCGCGGGGGGGGATCCGGGGGCAGGCGTGGGGGAAGGCGCGGGGGCAGGGGCAGGGGCAGGGGCAGGGGGAGGGGGCGTGGCGCGGATGGTCGTTCCTGCTGAGGGAAAGTTCCTAATTTACCCCATGTATTTGAAGGGGCCTTGCAGGAGCGGACTACAATTTGTGGTGAGTACAACTCTAGTTCCATCAATAGTTCCTCTCCACCACCACCCCTCCGCTTCACCGCCATCTGCCCCTCCTTCCACACCTCTCCCCACCCCTCCCCTCCTCCACCCCTCCCCCCCCCCAACCCCCTCCCCCCTCCCCCCCCCCCCCCCTTCCCCCCTCCCCCCCCCCCCCTTCCCCCCTCCCCCCCCCCCCCCTTCCCCCCTCCCCCCCCCCAACCCCCTCCCCTTCCCCCCCCTCCCATACCTCCACTCACTCTCCCCTATTTTGTCCTCCCATTCCCTCTCGACTTTCCCTCATCCCCAATCCCAAGGTGAATGGCATCCTCACAGGCGCCGCTGACGTCAGCAGCTATCCGAAACCGGCCAAGCCGAGCTCCTGGGCTCTGTTACTGTTCAACCGAATATCAAATCTGGAGATTTTGGGTGGCGGAGTGATGGACGGCGCGGGACAGGGATTTTGGAGGTTTCCGGGGCAGCAACGGCCGGCGCTGCTGTCGATCACAAATTGCGACGGAGTGACGATTCGCGATATGCTGTTCACGTAAGGATGTGTACACATTCGTTTTTGTGTGGTGTACACTTCGTGTGATGCTTACATACTTCAAAAAAAAAAAAGTTTACGTATTCACTGTGTGTATCCACGTCAGCTATTAATTTTTCCTGTTCTTCTCTACCCCCCACCATTTTTTTCTGCAGCAACCCGGCACGACAGCACGTGAAGATATACGGAACGACTGATGTGCTTATAGAGAGGGTTGCCACGCTCTCCCCATATAACAGCCCCAACACCGACAGCATTCTCTTTAGTGGGGTGGTGAATGGCGTTGTGCGCAACAGCAGACTGGAAGGAGGTGAGAACAAGAAAGGGGGATGGGTGGAAAGGAGGAGGTGAATAAAAATGGGAGGAGGTGAGTAAGAAAGGGAGAAGGCGAGAGGAAAGGAGGAGGTGAGTAAGGAAGGGAGGAGGCGAGAGGAAAGGCGGAGGCGAGAAGGGATGATTGAGGCGGCAACATGGCCCTCGTTACATTGACTGCCATGCTTGTTACATGGTAACCATGTAACCATCATGACATTGTAACTGAGTGACCGCAACATCTGGGCATTGTCGGTCATCCCCTCTCTGAGTTTTCATCCCGTGTTTGTGTTCTCATCCCCGGTATGTGTTTCCACAACCACCCCCCCTCTCCGTCCAGGTGACGATAATGTTGCCATCATTACCGGGTGCAGAAACATCCTTATAGAGAATACGCAGTGTATCAACGGGCACGGCATAAGGTATGATCGCACAACCATGTATGATAGGTACTTAAAGAGGCTGCATTGTCATGTATGTAGGTCATGCTGACCATGTAGATGGTGTTAAACCTCACTCCAGTTCCCCCTATATCCCTGTCAGCTGTTTCCGCATTTTAACAACTCTTCTCCCCTTTCTCTGGCCTCCTTAACCCTCCCTTTCTCCATCCCTCTATCCCCTTTCTCCCACTATAATCCCCCCAGCATCGGCAGTCTCGGCGGTGACGGGGAGCTGGGCTGTGTATCCGACGTGACAGTAAGGAACGTGAGCCTAAGGGGGTCCAACAACGGCCTCCGAATCAAGACCTACCAGCAGGGAGTGGGTCTCGTGAGCAACGTAACATACGAGGACGTAACCGTAACCGACGTTACATGGCCGATCTTAATCAACCAATTCTACTGCGACAAAAAGACCGCGTCAGCCAGTAGCTGCCAGCTCAGCAGCACGGCTGTAGCGGTTACCAACATTCGTTACAAGAACATCCGCGGCACGGCGAACGGCACGGTCGGCGTGCTTCTAAACTGCAGCCAATCAGTGCCATGCTCTGGGATATCCTTTTCCAACATCTACCTCACCTCCTCTCGCACTCCCAAGTCACCCAATCAGTTGCTCAGCACTACTCTCAAGGAGAACAGGGTCGGAGTCAACGCAGCCAACTCAGTCAACTCGGTCAATGGAGTCAACGGGGCTGATCCAGACTCGCTAGCGCTTCTGAACCAGGAGACGCAAGTCAACAGAGTCAACAAGGGGGTAGCACCAGTCAACGGAGTCAACAAGGGCGTAGCACCAGTCAAGGGAGTCAACGGGGCTGGCCCAGACTCTATAGAGCTGCTGAACCAGGAGACTCAAGTCAACGGAGTCAACAAGGGGGTAGCACCAGTCAAGGGAGTCAACCCTCTCTCTGCGCTGTTCGGAATCGGCACCAGCAGCACCAGCAGCACTTCAGCCACTCAAAAAGCTGTTGGAGCCTCGGCATTATCGGATCTATCAGGATCAGATCTGCAGGCAATACTCAACAACGCGTATGGAACCACGGACGTGAAGACTGTGTCGGTTTTTATAGCGGAGGCGCAGTGGGACGGTGCGACGCCCCCTGCTGCAGCAGCAGCAGCCATCAGCAGAATGGCAGCAAAGTGCATGTGAGTGCCATGTGGGGGTGTGTGCGTGTAGGCGTGTGGGCGTGAGTGATGTGTTCAGTCAACAACCCCCTGCTGCAGCGACAGCAGCCATCAGCAGAATGGCAGCAAAGTGCATGTGAGTGCCGCCATGTGGGTGGGGGGTGTGAGTGAGTGCCGCCATGTGGGTGGGGGGTGTGAGTGAGTGCCGCCATGTGGGTGGGTGTGAGTGAGTGTCGCCATGTGGGTGGGGGGTGTGAGTGAGTGCCGCCATGTGGGTGGGGGGTGTGAGTGAGTGTCGCCATGTGGGTGGGGGGTGCATGTGAGTACTGCCATGTGGGTGGGGGTGCATGTGAGTACTGCCATGTGGGTGTGGGGTGCATGTGAGTGCTGCCATGTGGGTGGGGGTGCATGTGACTACTGCCATGTGGGTGGGGGTGTATGTGAGTGCTGCTGATGCTTGTAGCAGTGGTGCAGTGGAGGGTGTCTCGCCCCCTGCTGCAGGGACAGCAGCCACAGCAGAATGGCTGCGAAATGCATGTGAGTGCCACCGTATGTGGGGGCGGGTGAATGTGCATAGTTTGTTTCATGTCAACTCAACCACTTCCTACTGTAGCACGAGCAGCCATCAGCAGCACGGCTGGGATTTGCATGAGTGATATGTGTGTGTGTGGGAAAGGGGGGAGAGGAGGAGGGGTTTGGCTGCATGCTTGCTTGTGGATATATGATATTGCATACTGTGGTGTTCATGTTGCATTTCATATCATATATGTCTGTATGGTCCAAAACCGTCTTACAATTATTTCTGTACCTATTTTGTGTGTTGTGTTGACCTTTTGCAGACAAGCACCCATTTCATTGAAGTCAGCTTTGGCGGCCAGCATCGATGCTGGAGTTCACTCATCCAACTCGGTTAGATCATTGATCACACCTTGATGATCTTGTATTCTATGTTGCGATATGCTCCAACGTAGTCACCTAATGAGACGTAGATTAAGTTGCTTGTTATACATGCAATAAATACGGTTTTCACCAGACGTTGCAGACATGGAATTAAAGGACAAGGAAAAGGATCAGTAGTCTCAACCACTCCTGGAACTGCTGGCATAATATATCGTCTGTTTGTAAGAATGTAAGTGGATGCCAAAGCGTCTGTGAACGAGGTTCATATCGGGGATAGCCAGACAGTAACCGCAACGCACCGGAATGCCGCACCGAAACATTGGTATCGTTCTGTTTGCGCATGAGCAGTTCGGGCGTTCTGCACAAGCACTGCGGGAAGGGTTTTCCTCGAAGGGGTCAACCCTCCCGCGGCCTCGGCGAAGTTTGCTGCTAACGACAAAACTGTTTTGCCAACAGCCCATTTTTTTTTCCGTTTATCATGCCCAGTCTGCCCAGGATGCTCAAAATGTTTCATCACAACCACTCACAAATCTTCAACCTTTGGGTTCACCCTTGCCTCTGGTTTGATATGTTTTTTCTGGTGAGTTATTTCCTCGAAAAAGTTTCCCAAAAACGGGCGTTCAGATCTGCCCGTTATTGCTTGTGCGTCCCCTTATTCTACCTCGGATGGGCGGATAGGGTTCGCACGAGCGGTGCCTCCAGTTTGCCCGTAATAGAAATTTCCCAGTAAAGTCCGAACGCACTAGTGGTGATCCGTTCTTGAACCCTTGGGCGCACAAGAATGCTACCAGGTTCGGTACACAATAACGAGTTGGGAGGCTCGACATGGGCTTTAAGCTCTGACAGGCGCTTTCCTAGAATATTCCGCAGGGGGGGCCAAGCACCCCGAATGTGGCTGCAGAACGATACCATTGATCAGTTCGGAGCGCGATCCATGTCGCGAAATAGCAGGGCAGGTTCAGGTAACCTCGAGGTCGAGAAGAGCGTGGCAACCTCGAGCCTTTTCCGAACCTAGCCAGCCCCTCCTGCCTTTCAAGTCAGTCGAGTAGAGTTCAAGTGGTTATTTTTTTATGGCCAAGCGATGCAGCTTCTTCCGTCAGACCTAAGGTCCACGCGCTTCGAAGTGATGTTCAGCGAAGGTGGTCGAAACGAGAGCTATCACGAACGACGAATCAAATGTATATTCTACCTGAACTGATGCTATCTTAGACTGATGATCTGAACCGAAAGCTGTAATTTCGCCGCGACAAGCGGCTCCTTCGCCAGTTACGTTCTATTTCCGTCATGGTCGTGCCATTTGTGATTCTACTCTTATCCGCAGTCGCCACTGCGAGCTCAACAGATGGTAGCCCTTATGACGATGCACCTTTCAATGGTGATCATAGTAAATACATGAACATCAGCCGTTTCGAAAATGCGGCGGTTTGGTCGTCTTCCGCGGATCCAACTCACACGAATCACCTCACACGAGCCCGTGGCAGCGCACATCAACGACTCCGTCTATCCAGCCGGCTAGCAGTTCCCCGTACCGCTTCGTCAGCACCCGACGACTCGGAAAATTATCCTGACCGCCGCGCTCTTTCCGTCGCAAATTCGCAAATCATGCAGCCTCGGGGGTCTCGCCAGGTTACGGCTCCTCCCCCCGCGTCCCCTCCCCTGCCCCCACCAGTCTCGCGATTCTTGCCCCTTCCGATAGCGCTCCCTCCCCCTCCGCCGTGGCCAATCAACGAAGAGGGCGTCTTCAACGTGCTACAGTTCGGGGCGCGCGCGGACGGGCGCACGGACAACACGGACGCGTTTCTCCGCGCGCTGCAGACCGCGTGCGCGTGGGGGGAGGCGCGGAGCGCGTACGCGCGCGTGGTGGTCCCCGCGAGCGGCGGGCTGTTCCAGATCTTCCCCGTCGAGGTGGAGGGGCCGTGCGGCACGGGGCTGGAGGTTCAGGTGGGTGCGAAGCGGTGTGGAGGTACGCGCGGTGGGAGAATATAGCATTGTGTAGCGGGCTGTTTCAGATCCCTTCCCCGTCGATCTGAAGGGACCGTGCGGCACTGGGTTGGAAGTGCAGGTGGGTGGGAAGGGGTGAAATGGGTGAGAAGCGGGGTGGAGCTGTGTGCGGTGCGGTGGGAGAGGATAGCATTGTGTAGCTGGCTCTTTCAGATGTTCCCCGTCGAGCTGGAGGGGCCGTGCGGAGCAGGGCTGGAGGTTCAGGTGGGTGGAAATCGGTGCAGAGATGCGCGCGGTGGGAGAGGATAACATTGTGCAACGGGCTGTTTCAGATCTTCCCCGTCGATCTGAAGGGCCGTGTGGCGGGGTTTGAGGGTCAGGTGGGTGCGAAGACTTATTAGGAAAACGTTGGGGATAAGCAGGGAAATTGGGGAAAGTCGGGGGGAGATTGCGGGAAATTCTGGGCGGAAAGCAGAAAATCTGGAAAAAAAAAAAAAAAAAAAAAGCGGGGGCAACTGTGGGGAAGAAATGGGGAAAATTTGGGGACGAGGAAAAACTTTTTCCCACCAGCAAAACCATCCCCACTGCCCTTCCCTCCCTTTCGTCCACTGCTCTCCCTCCCACATCAGATCGACGTCACCTCCTACGCCATGCCTCAAAACAGCAACGCGTTGCTTCACATCTGGCGCTCCCCGCTCTCCCTCCCTTGTTTGTCTCTGCCCCTTCATCAGATCAACGGTGGAGTTGCCGCGCCTGCCAACGTCACCGCCTACCCCATGCCTCAAGACAGCGACTCTTGGGCGCTCCTACTTTTCAGAGAGGTTCCGAACCTGACGATTACAGGAGGCGGGTGGATGGACGGGCAGGGGGGGGGGTTCTGGGCGCGGGGGAAGGGGAGCAAGCGGCCGGTGCTGCTGTTCCTCTCCCGATGCGATAACGCTACAGTGCAGGGCGTGACGTTGACGTGAGTTAGTTAGTTGCTTGCTTCTCCTCTCTGAAGCGCTCGGGAGGGCTGTCCCGTGTGTGTCTTTTTTGTAGATGTCTCGAAAGCGTTTTGAGTTTTGAAACGTCTAAAAACTCTAAACCCGAAACCCTGTTTCACCTCTCAGCAGCTCCTCTTTCGAGTCGACTCCAAAGTCACCCTGTGTCTGTGCTGGCATGCCATCCGAGCCTCTGTTGAGGTTCTGGACTGGACGCTCACCTGTAGCTCTCTGAACAGCACCTCTCTCCCTGTTTCACCTCTCAACAGCACCCCACCCTGTAAGGGCTGGCCCTGTGGGTGAGCTGTGCTGTGCTGGCTTGACTTCCGAGCCTCTGTTGAGGTTCTGGACGCTCACCTGTAGCTCTCTGAACAGCACCTCTCTCCCTGTTTCACCTCTCAACAGCACCCCACCCTGTAAGGGCTGGCCCTGTGGGTGAGCTGTGCTGTGCTGGCTTGACTTCCGAGCCTCTGTTGAGGTTCTGGACGCTCACCTGTAGCTCTCTGAACAGCACCTCTCTCCCTGTTTCACCTCTCAACAGCACCTCTCTCCCTGTTTCACCTCTCAACAGCACCTCTCTCCCTGTTTCACCTCTCAACAGCACCTCTCTCCCTGTTTCACCTCTCAACAGCACCTCTCTCCCTGTTTCACCTCTCAACAGCACCTCTCTCCCTGTTTCACCTCTCAACAGCACCTCTCTCCCTGTTTCACCTCTCAACAGCACCTCTCTCCCTGTTTCACCTCTCAACAGCACCTCTCTCCCTGTTTCACCTCTCAACAGCACCTCTCTCCCTGTTTCACCTCTCAACAGCACCTCTCTCCCTGTTTCACCTCTCAACAGCACCTCTCTCCCTGTTTCACCTCTCAACAGCACCTCTCTCCCTGTTTCACCTCTCAACAGCACCTCTCTCCCTGTTTCACCTCTCAACAGCACCTCTCTCCCTGTTTCACCTCTCCCCTTTGATTCCCTTATCGCCCACTGAACAACATCTCTTTCCTGTCTGCTCCTCCCTGATTCTAAATTTCCCCGTGCCGTCACTGTCGACAGCAACCCAGGAAGCGCACACCTCAAGGTGCACAACAGTAACGGATTGCTTATAGAGAGGATAACCATTCGCAGCCCTTTCGACAGCCCCAACACAGACGGCATTCAAATCTCCAAGGTTGAGAATGGCATCATACGAAACTGCCATCTGGAGAGCGGTGAGTCTGCTTTTAACGAGGATACATACGAAAGCACACCCTATAATGTTCCGTATTCATCAAAATATTCTGAATGTAGTTTTGACTGCAGGACAAAACTTATTGAATATATTGATGAACATATTTTGAATGTAGTTTTGTCAGTATATTGAGTATACTGACATCTCTCCCCAACCTTCTGTTGAATCCAAACCCCTTCCTTCCCTCCGGACTACTGCCTTTTTCCTTGACCAATCAGGAGACGACAACGTGGCGATTGGTGCTGGCTGCCATAATCTGCTGGTTGAAAATCTCGTGTGCATCAACGGCCACGGAGTGAGGTGAGGAAATCAACGGCCACGGAGTGAGGTGAGGAAATCAACGGCCACGGAGTGAGGTGAGGAAATCAACGGCCACGGAGTGAGGTGAGGAAATCAACGGCCACGGAGTGAGGTGAGAGAATCAGCGGTCATCAAATAAGATGAGGGCATCAACAGTGCGAGGAAATCAACGGTCATATGAAGCTTAGCAAGCACCTTGCCCTTTCTCCTTCCTTTCCCAGCATCGGCAGCTTGGGCAGGGACAGACAACAGTGTGTGTGTCAGATGTGTGTGTGTAAGGAATGTGAGCTTCACGGGCTCCAGCACTTCTTTTCCCCTTTATACTTTAGACATAATTCTCAGGGAGCAGCAGTAGTGAAGCTAGGCTTAAAGCAAAAGAACAAAAAGAAGTGCTGGACCCTGTGAAGCTCACATTCCAGCACTTCTTTTCCCCTTTATACTTTCTGCTCTCTGCCTTTCACAGCATATCATGCCTGGACAGGGACCAGGCAAGAGCATGTGTGTGCCGGATGTGCCCTTACAGCGTGTGTGTGTGTTAATAGAGCTCTGTCTCTGTCTCATCCTTTCCGCTCATTTCCTTGCCAGCATCGGCAGCCTGGGAAAAGATCAGACAACAGCATGTGTATCGGATGTGCTTATAAGGAATGTGAGCTTCACGGGGTCGAACAACGCCCTGCGAATCAAGACGTACCAGGGAGGCAAGGGGCTTGTATCGAACGTGACTTACAAAGACATTCGGGTGACTGACGTCACGTGGCCGATAATCATCAATCAGGTATGTGTTGTGTGGGTACCATCACTTAATCAGGTATGTAGTGCTCTGTGGTGCAGTGCAGTGCAGTGTGGTGCTCGCTCCTTTCCCCATGCTTGTAAAGTTGTATCAGTTTGAACAGCTCATGCCTGTTCCATCAGCTCATGCCAGTTTGATAACCTTTTGCCACGTGATGAAAGTAGTGTTTCGAGACGTTTGAAATTGGCATGAGATGATGGAACAACTATCATCAACTGATTCAACAGACATTATCCAATGGTATTAGCATGAGCTGATGAAACTGGCATAAGATGATGGAACGGGCATTGACTGAATCAACAGGCATCAGCTACTGGAATCTATTTGAGCTGATGAAACTGGCATGAGATGGTGGAACGGGCATTGATTGATGCACTTGTCGTGCTTCTTCCAATAGGAACCCCCCCTTCTTTTTTCCCAACCACCCGTTTCCCCTTTCCTCCCCCCCATCCCCCAACCTCCTCACAGTTTTACTATGTGGCCTCCCCAAGTAAATACCAGGAGAGGAAGGGGGCAGTAGCAATCACAAGCATTTTGAGGCGCCTCAATATGCACCTCACTACACGCGGATTTTGAGGCGCCTCAAAGTAAATACCAGGAGAGGAAGGGGGCAGTAGCAATCACAAGCATCAGCTTAATCAGCATGAAGGGCACGGCCAACGGCACACACGCCATGCTCCCCTCCACACCTTCCCTTCTTCTCCTGACCCACACCTTCCCCCCTCCCCGGAACCCCACCTTTCCCCCTCCCCGGAACCCCACCTTTCCCACCCGATGACAGTTCTACTGCATTACCTTGCCGCGCAATTGCCAGGAGCAAGAGGAGGCGGTAGCGGTGTCAGATGTGAGCATTTTCAACGTGAAGGGCACGGCCAACAGCACACACGCCCCTTCTCCTGCCCCCCACCTTCCCCCCTCCCGTGACAGTTCTACTGCATTACCTTGCCGCGGAATTGCCAGGAGCAAGAGGAGGCGGTAGCGGTGTCAGATGTGAGCATTTTCAACGTGAAGGGCACGGCCAACAGCACACACGCCCCTTCTCCTGACCCCCACCTTCCCCCCTCCCGTGACAGTTCTACTGCATTACCTTGCCGCGTAATTGCCAGGAGCAAGAGGACGCGGTAGCGGTGACAAACATCAGCTTCATCAACGTGAAGGGCACAGCCAATGGAACTCACGCGATTCTCTTCAACTGCAGCCGCTCCGTTCCATGCACGTCTCTCTTGCTCGCTGATATCGCCATCACCCCTTCTGGCAACCGGGCTAGCGGCCTAGCTTTTGCAGGTGAGAGGTCTGAGTGACTTCCTGGTGACTTTTGAGTCGACTCAAAAGTAAAAAGTCACCTCGTTTTTTAGTCGACTCAAAAGTCATATCGCCATCAACCCCTCTGCCAACCGGGCTAGCAGCCTAGCTTTTGCAGGTGGGTTTTGAGTACCTGCAACAACAACAAGACTTAAAACTCAACTGCAGCCGATCCGTTCCATGCGCGTCCCTCTTGCTCGCTGATATCGCCATCCACCCCTCTGCTAACCGGGCTAGCGGCCTAGCTTTTGCAGGTGAGTTTTGAGTGCCTGCCTGCAACAAAAAAAAATCTCAGAACTCAACTGCAGCCGATTCTTTCCCGCCATCTCCCCCTCTGCCAGCCGATCGGTGCCATGCACGTCCCCCTCGTGCCATGCACGTCCCCCTCGTGCCATGCACGTCCCCCTCGTGCCATGCACGTCCCCCTCGTGCCATGCTCGTCCCTCGTGCCATGCACGTCCCCCTCGTGCCATGCACGTCCCCCTCGTGCTCTCAAATATTACCATCACTTCCTCTGCAAACGCAGCTAGCAGGCTAGCTGTTGCAGGTGCTGCAACAAAAAAAAATCTCAGAACTCAACTGCAGCCGCTCCGTACCATGCACCTCTTGGTGCATCTCAAAAAGTCGTCTCCGCGCCATTCTCAAGAGGCACATCTTGAGGCCATTCTCTTCAAATGCATTTTGTTTGAGATTGTTTTTGAGAATTCTCAAAAACAATCTCAAACAAAGTCGTCTCCGCGCCATGCACATCTTGAGGCACATCTTGAGGCCATTCTCGTCAAATGCAGCCGATCTGTGCCATTCGCCTCCCTGCTGCTCTCTATTGCCACCATCGCCCCCTCTGCCAACACATTCTGTGTTTGTGGCGCCGCAAACTAGCCGTCCCATGCACCCCACTGCTGCTCTCTGTTGTCGTCATTGCCCCCCCTGCCAACACAGCTAGCAGGCTAGCTGCAGCTGCCTTTATGCCCTCTTCCTCCCCCTCCTCCCCTTCCCCTTCCCCTTCCCCTTCCCCTTCCCCTTCCCCTTCCCCTTCCTCTTCCTCTTCCTCTTACTCTTCTCTTCCTCTTCTCTTCCTCTTCCTCTTCCTCTTCCTCTTCCTCTTCCTCTTCTGTCAGAGTTCATCTCAGCGTATGGAAGCACAACGGGCCTCCTTTTACCCTCGCCTGAGGTATTACCTCCTCTTCTTCCTCCTCTCTCACTTCTCTCACCTCTCAGAACATGTGCTTCTTTCAGAGTTCATCTCAGCGTATGGAAGCACAACGGGCCTCCTTTTACCCTCGCCTGAGGTATTACCTCCTCTTCTTCCTCCTCTCTCACTTCTCTCACCTCTCAGAACATGTGCTTCTTTCAGAGTTCATCTCAGCGTATGGAAACACTACGGGCCTTCTTTTACCAACACCTAATGTAAGCGCTGTGGCACAGCACATGATCGTTCACATATGTGCATGATTAAACGCACGTGCACATGATTATACGCACATGCACAAGGTCACACATATCAGCATACACACAAATGTGCACACTCGTACACATACGCGCGTGCGCGCACGCACACACACACATGCACGCTCACACGCATGCATGTGCGCTCTCTCAGAAGGATACACACATACATGCATACGCACATGTATGTGTATGACACACATGCATGCACACACACATGTATGACACACATGTATGCATACACACATGCACACACGCATGAACGCATACACCACCATATGAATCTCACCGACAATAACTGACACACACGTATGCATCGGTGACGAGCTACATGCATATATGCACCGCCCAGACATCTCAGCAGGAGGTGATTTTTTAGTCGACTCGAAAATCACAGTAGTATACCCTTCTTGGCGTCTCTTCCATCCACTCCCCTTCCATTCACTCCTCCTTTTCACTCCTTTTCCAGTCACCCCGACGCCCTCCGACCACTGGCATATCAATGGCTGCACACACATGCACGCAAGCACGCGTGCGCACACGCATTTCCCTTCCACCCACTCCCCTTCCATCCACGCCTCTTCCATCCACGCCTCTTCCATCCACGCCTCTTCACACTCCCCAGGTGCAAGCATGGGCTGGTCACCCCGACGCCCTCCGACCGCCAGCTCATTAATGCCATGGCTGCGCAATGCCAGTGAGTCGATAATGAGTATTGTTTGAGGTGTGTCAAAACATGTGAGTCGATAATGAGTATTGTTTGAGGTGTGTCAAAACATGTGAGTCGATAATGAGTATTGTTTGAGGTGTGTCAAAACATGTGCGGCGATAATGAGTATTGTTTGAGGTGTGTCAAAACATGTGAGTCGATAATGCGTTGTGTACTTTTGGGAATTTCTCAAGCTCACCAACGCCGTGGCTGCGCAATGCGGGTGAGCGTGTGAGACGCACAGAGGCACAGACGCACGGACGCACAGACACACAGACGCACAGACGCACAGGCGCTCAGACGCACAGACGCACAGGCGCACAGACGCACAGGCGCACAGGCGCACAGACGCACAGACGCACAGGCGCACAGACGCACAGACGCACAGGCGCACAGACGCACAGACGCACAGAGGCACAGACGCACAGACGCACAGAGGCACAGACGCACAGGCGCACAGGCGCACAGACGCACAGACGCACAGAGGCACAGACGCACAGGCGCACAGGCGCACAGGCGCACAGACGCACAGGCGCACAGACGCACAGACGCACAGACGCACAGGCGCACAGACGCACAGGCGCACAGGCGCACAGACGCACAGGCGCACAGACGCACAGGCGCACAGACGCACAGACGCACAGGCGCACAGACGCACAGACGCACAGACGCACAGAGGCACAGGCGCACAGGCGCACAGGCGCATAGGCGCACAGACACACAGGGATCAGTGTACTCTTTTCTTGCTGAACCTGGCAGCACCTCGAACAGGTGAGTCGCTAATGAGTTTGTTACTTTTGAGGCGCAGTAAAAGTACTTTTGAGGCGCAGCAAAAGTACTTTTGAGGCGCAGGAAAAGTACTTGTGAGAATTCTCATCTCAAGCTCACCAACGCCGTGGCTGCGCAATGCGGGTGAGCGTGTGAGTGAGACGCACAGCGAGCATCGGAGGCCGAGCTGTGCAGATCCGAAAGAATCTCCTTCCCACCCTTCCAATCCTTCCCACCCTTCCCATCCTTCCCACCCTTCCCATCCTTCCCACCCTTCCCATCCTTCCCACCCTTCCCATCCTTCCCACCCTTCCCATCCTTCCCACCCTTCCCATCCTTCCCACCCTTCCCACCCTTTCCCTTTCCAACCTTCCCACCACCTGTTCATCTATGTGCTCACTCCCATTTGAAGTGAGGGTGTTTTTGAGACGTCTCAAAAACACCTTCATTTATGCGCTCCCCCCTGCACGTTCATCTATGTGCTCCCTCCCGTTGCTACACACCCAGATTTACCCATCCCTCCCGTCTCCCTCTCGCTCCCTCTGCTGTGCAGTGCAGGTTCAAGAGCATATCCTTCCCACCCTTCCCTCCTCCTTCTCCTCCTTCTCCTCCCCCTCCTCCTCCTTCCCCCAGGGCCCCCATAACCAAGCCGTCGTCCCGCAACGCCCCCTTGTTACAAGCACTTGTGATTTCTACTTTTACTCTTGCCGTTTCCATCCTAGGTTAGCACGAGTTCTGTTTCGAGTCGACTCAAAACGAAACGCCCCCATGTTACAAGTAGTTTAGTCTCCACCGTTATCTTTTCTCCTTTAGTGTAGCACGAGTCAAGGGAGTCAGCACGAGTCAGCACGAATCAAGCGAGTCAGCTCACTTCGAGTCGACTCAAAAGACCCAAGCCGTCGTCCCGCAACGCCCCCATGCTACAAGTACTTGTAATTCTTGCACTCTAAGCTTTACTATCCTAGTGTAGCACGAGTTAAGCGAGTTAGCTCACTCACAAAGCAGTTTGGAATCGGCACCAGCAGCAGCTGTTATAGTGGCAGCACCAGCAGTAGCACCAGCAGTCCCAGCGGCATTTCTTCTCTTCTCTTAGCTTTTCTATCCTAGTGTAGCACGAGTTCAGGGAGTCAGCACGAGTCAAGCGAGTCAGCACGAGTCAAGGGAGTCAGCTCACTTTCGAGTCGACTCAAAAGTCACCCAAGCCGTCGTCCCTCAACACCCCCATGCTACAAGTAATTGTAATGAATGCACCCTTAGCTTGTCTATCCTAGTGTGGCGCAAGTCAAGGGAGTCAGCTCGCGATAAGAGAAGTGTTTTGAGACGTCTCAAAACAATGCAGTTATTGGGAGTAGCATGAGTGTAGCATTACTATCCTAGTGTAGCACGAGTCAAGGGAGTCAGCTCATTTACAAACCTGTTTGGAATCGGCACCAGCAGCAGCAGTTACAGTGGCAGCAGCAGTATCAGCACCAGCACCAGCAGCACCAACAGCAGCAGCACCAACACCAGCAGCAGCAGCAGCAGCAGCAGCAGGCTTCACCAGCAGGCGCCACCAGCAGGCGCAGCACGGTGGGAGGGTGCCTCGGGTCCTGAGAGTGTGTGTGTGTGTGTGTGTGTGTGTGTGTGTGTGTGTGTGTGTGTGTGTGTGTGTGTGTGTGTGTGTGTGTGTGTGTGTGTGTGTGTGTGTGTGTGTGTGTGTCTGTGTGTGTGTGTGTGTCTGTGTGTGTGTGTGTGTCTGTGTGTGTGTGTGTCTGTGTGTGTGTGTGTGTCTCTGTCTGTCTGTGTGTGTGTGTGTGTGTGTTTGTGTGTGTGTGTGTGTGTGTGTGTCTGTGTGTGTGTGTGTGTGTGTGTGTCTGTGTGTGTGTGTGTGTGTGTGTGTGTGTGTGTGTGTGTGTGCGTGTGTGTGTGTGTGTGTGTGTGTGTGTGTGTGTGATTGTGCATGTGTGTAAATTTATGTGTATAGCACACTTGCTTGTGGATAGGGGGACATGTGCGTAAATCTCATACATATGTAATATCGTGACATGCAAAAATATTCTTCCTGTATTATGAAGCGATCTCATGAGAATCTTCAAACCGTATGTAGTTAATGTTGTCGTGCTGTTCCTTTTCAGATAAATATTGATTGATACAGGTGAAGTCAATTTCATAGTCCACTCCACTTGCTAGCACCTATGCGCTCAGAACACTCATCACATTCACTCCTATCTTATCTTGTATTCGTTGTTGCGATGCTCTCCTAATTAGTTAGGGAGGGCGAGTCTCAAAAGCTCACTCAACCTCCATACATATATATACAGAGTGTCAAGACGTATTTCCAAAGCCTGGAGACGGTGCGAAATATCTTTGTGGAACGTCGAAACATAAAACCATTTTCAAAACATCTGGCTCTAGTTTCTTCAGATGTATACGCCACTTGTGCTGATGAGTGAATGGATGAGTAGTATCATCTTAACCTTGTCCATTTAGTTACTTGTCTAATAAATTCACACCTAAATAACACATCCATACTAATGAACTATTCATGTTATTGTGTTCTGTATGTATATATGGGACAGGGAGTCAAACGGACTGTTCGGCGTGGAACGGTGGTAAAGAATCTTAAAGTCTCTAAACCGTATCTGACCGTGTTTTCCCGTACGAAACCATGCTGTACGACCAGACATCCATGACGCGCCTCGGATTGCTTCGATATGTACAGTGCACATTTCAACGCGCAGGTCGCTCACCACATTTCGCCTGAGGTTTGAAGCAGTGCACTGCACTGTGTACCCTGGGCCAGGTCCAGGCTTGGGCACAGGCGCTCCCCCCTGCAAACCACCACCCTGGGCTTGACCAGCCAGAAAACCAGACCTCGTCGGCCCGGCTAGAAAACCATGCGCCAAACCTAGAGCCCATGTATGGTGGTTACATGGTACTCAGATCGACGAGACACACACAGTCCACTCAATATGAGTTTTTACTCTGTACCGTTCTTAAACGTAACGCACCGACACAGAAAGTGTTTTGTGCGGAGCGCGTGAAGTGAACAAGCCGTCATATGGCAGCCGCAAGCATATTACGAACCTATGATGCCCCTCCTGCCTCGGACTAGCTACCACCTTATTTTCCCCCTGCTAGTTTTCCTCGATCAGACCCAAGGCCCACGTCCTGCAAACTGCTCAGCTCAGCCTATTTTAGATCAGCGGTTGGCTTCAGTGAAGTAAAAGGTCCGAATGAGAACTCAGGCGAGGAACGAGCTGACAAAAAAGAAACGAAGCAGCTCGAGCTTTGATCTGAATCGATTGTTTCTTGGACTGGAATGCTTGATGTTACAAGTTCCATACAATCATTCTCGCAGTACGCGTATCCTAGAGTTGCCATCTCGTCGCGAAAGTGGTTCCTTCACTAAGCACGTTCCATTCTCGACTTCTGAAAATGGTCGTGCAGTTCGCGATTCTTCTCTTATCCGCAATCGTCACTGCCAGCTCAGTATATGGTAGCCCTTATACCATTACGCCTTACAATGCTGATCATCACGTGCGACGGCTGTCCGACAACCCACATCGGGGAGTCCGTCTATCAAGCCGGTTAGCCGTTCCTCGTGCCGTTCCGTCAGGATCCGCCAATGCGGAAGATTTCCCTGACCGCCGCGCTCTCTCCGCCTCGAATCCGCACGCTTCCGCAAGCCACGCAGACCTTCCGCCAAAACCTTCACATGCGGAAGCAACCATCCCGCGCCAACACAGAGCCGTTCCGCCGCCCGTCCCTAAACATTCGAGCCCGCCGATCCTCTCGTCTGATCCGAGCCTGGTGTATACGTTCGCGTTCATGCAGGCGCCTCGGAATTCGCGCCAGGCTACCGCTCCTTCCTCCGCACCTTCCCCTCTGCCCCCACCAGTCTCGCCCCCCCCGCCGATCGATCTGCCTCCGCCAGTCGAGCCTCCGCCGCCCCAGCCTCCGCCAGTCAAGCCTCCCCCGGTCAAGCCTCCACCAGTCAAGCCTCCCCCGGTCAAACCTCCGCCAGTCAAACCCCCCCCAGTCAAGCCTCCGCCAGTCAAGCCTCCCCCGGTCGCGTCCCCGCCGCCTCCGCCAGTCTTCCAACCGTGGCCAATCAACGGGCAGGGAATCTTCTGTTGGAGATTACGTGTGTTGGAAGCAAGGTGGTGGTGGGGCGTTTGTATGCCCCCAACCCACCGAATGTGTGACTTGTGCTCACCTTCGAGTGAGTTGCAGGTTTGCGTGGGGTTGAGGATTGACTTCGGAAGACCCATTCGATTCGGTGCCACATGGCAGCACCAGGAACATTCGAGACCCAAGGAGAATTCGGATCGGTGAAATTCGAGAGTCGAATTTCACCCTTTCGATGTTACTCGAACATTCGCGAGTGTAGCGGTTCGAGGTTACTTGTGCGATTCGATCTTGTTTGCATGCTATAAATCTGTTTTCTTTGTATTGCATGCCATCATAGTGAAACTCAGAGTTCTTTGTACAAGGTACATTCGAACACAAATTCCAGAGAGCTTCTTTACTTGCATTCAAGAGCACCACCTAGCACGTGAACGCCTATATCTCGGAGAATACTTAGGCGATCGACGTGTTTGACGGCTCGTTGGAAAGCTAAGACAGAGCTCTATCGTTTAGAACAACTCCCAGTTCCTGCAAAGTAGAGGAGAGTCCTCTACAACAGTGGTATCAGAGCTGGTCGGAGGAGTCTACGCGCGCGACAAGGAGCACGCATGATGACTTCAAGCGAGGCCTCCCGCACTTCCTTGGATGGTGTCGTTGTAAATTCCGGCGAACCCTGGGCAACCGCGACGATGTTCGACACGTCGGCGGTACCGATTTTCACGGGACAAAACTACTCCGCGTGGAAGTTTAAGTTCCAAGTGCTCATGATGGAGCGGGGACTTTGGGGTTTCTTCGATGGAACGGAGAAGAAGCCGGACGATGAGAGCGGCATCGCGGCATGGAAGAAGAAGGACCAAAAGGCGTTCGCTACGTTGATTTCGCGCATCGGCATCAATCTCGTGAGCTCGGTGCGCATGTGCATCAAGCTCGAAGCGTCGGCGCATGAAGCGTGGAAGCGGCTCGAGACCATCCACGTGAACAAGACTCTCCACGGCAAGATCCTAGCCCGGAATGCGTTTTACACGGTGAAGATGCGCGCGGGCGAATCGATGCACGAGTTTGCGACTCGTGTGGAGGAACTCGGGGAAACGTTCATGGACCTCGGTGGAACGGTCACGGAGGAGGATTGGATTTTGACCTTGCTATGCGGCCTTCCGGAAGAGTGGTCGACGGTGATTACGACACTCGATAGCGTGCAAGACACTTGGACGAAGGAAATGGTGGTCGGTCGGCTTCTCCATGAAGAATCGCGTCGCCGACAATTCGCTAATGAGAACGTGGAGACCGCCATGTTCTCCGGAGGGAGTTCCGGAGGAAAGTCCAAGTGGAGCAAGGGTGCGACGAAGAAGTCGTACGGTGGAAGCGATCGCGGCAAGGGAAACACATCGAATGGCGCGAGCAAGTGCCACTATTGCGGCAAAGCGGGACACTTTTGGCGAGAGTGTCGGAAGCGGCCGAGCGATTGGACTCCATCGAAGGCGCGGAACCACGAGGGCAACGCGCACACGGCATCCGGCGAGGCGGATGATACAAGGGAGTCGATCGTGTTATTGGCCGGTGACGGGACCAACACTCCAAGCGACGCGTGGTTCCTCGACACCGGCGCAACGCAACACATGACGCACTCGGCATCGTTCCTCACCAACGTTGGTGCACCGGGAGACGTCACGCGTGTCGTCTTCGGAAACAACAAGTTGCTACCGGTGGTCGGAGTTGGGAGTACGCGTCTCATCGTCGATGGCGAACCGGTGGACATCACGAATGTGCTTCACGTCCCGGGGTTGAGTGAATCTACTCTCCGTCACTCAACTCGCGAAGAAGGATGTGAAGTTCACCATCGATGGCGCGACGATGAACCTCATTTGGAAGGGGAAGCAATTCGCACAAGGCGTTCTCAACGGAGAACTCTACCAACTCAAGACGCACCCGAGAGCGGCTTCCTCCAACGTGGCGCAAGGGTCCAAGGCGACTCTCCATGCGTGGCATAATCGGCTTGCGCACGCCAACTACGAATTGATCAAGGCGTTGGCCAACAAAGGACTAGCGAAGGGAGTCGACGTGATCGCCGGCGACGACGAGAAGGGCGTGTGCGCGGCGTGTGTCGAAGGAAAAATGGCTCGCAAGCCATTTGGTAGCCGTACCTCTCCCCTCGCTAAGGACCCGCTTGCGCTTGTTCACATGGACGTGTGTGGACCGATGCGGCATGCATCAAAGGGAGGAGCGCGGTTCCTCTTGGTGATGCTCGACGACGCGACGCGGATGTGTTGGACCCGACTCTTGAAGGCTAAGGGAGATGCGACCAAGGCGATTCAAGAGTGGGCGCTCGAAGTTTGCGACGACGACAAGAAGCGGATCAAGTGTATTCGCACCGATGGTGGTGGCGAATTCGTGAATGCGGAGCTCGAGAAATGGATGAAGTGCAAGGGTATTAAGCACGACGTCACAACACCCTACACACCCCAACAAAATGGAGCGGCGGAGCGGCTTAATCGCACTTTGGTGGAAGCCGTTCGTTCTCTTCTTCAACACTCCAAGCTTGGGAGCGAGTGGTGGGGCGAGGCGAGTTCGCTAGCGGCGTGGATTCGCAACCGTTTGCCGACGAAGGTGCTCCCGGGAATGACTCCGTTCGAAGCATGGACCGGAACGAAGCCGAACCTATCCCGCCTTCGCACCTTTGGGTGCCTTTGCTACTACCATGTACCGGATCCCCTTCGCCACAAGTTGCAACCGAAGGCTCGTGCGGCGATCTACTTGGGAATTGCGGCGAACGAGCGTGCGTGGCGAGTGTGGGACTTGGGCGACAAGTGCGTCGTCACGTCTCGGGACGTGGTCTTCGATGAAGACAAGTTCCCGTCGAAGGAGAAACCCACTCAACAACTCACCTTCATCCTTCCGCCACGAGAGGTAAGGGGATAAACGGTCATGGTGTGAGGCGAGGGAATTAACTGCTGTGGAATGAGGTGAGGGGATAAACGGTCATGGTGTGAGGCGAGAAGATCAAAATGTGATGTGAATCTTTCGACGGTTATGTAGCAAAGTGAATAAACAAACAGTCATGTTTGTGTGTCTGTTTCTTCTCACTTTTGTCCCTGTCACCCCAATTGTGGTCCTGTCCCTCACCCTTCATCGTCCTCCCTTCCCCTCTCTGCCTTTCACAGCATCGACAGCTCGGGAGAGGATCAAGAGACAGCGTGCGTGTCGGATGTGCTTGTAAGGAACGTGAGCTTCACGGGGTCAAACATGCTCTTTCTTCTGTTCCTACCTCCCTCCCCCCTCACTCCCTTTCGCAGCATTGGGAGTCTGGGCGAGGATCAAGAAACAGCGTGTGTGTCAGACGTGCTTGTAAGGAATGTGAGCTTCACGGGGTCAAACAACGCTCTGCGAATCAAGACGTATCAGGGCGGCAAGGGGCTTGTATCGAACGTGACTTACAGAGACATTCGGGTGACCGACGTCACATGGCCGATTATAATCGATCAGGTGGGTGCTGCAGTTATTCCCCCACACACATGAAAGGTGTTCCAGGGAGGCACGGGGCTCCCTGGAAGGCTGGAACACAACCCCTTGGCAAGGCAAGAGGCAAGGGGCTTGTCCAACGAGACTTACAAGCGATATTTGTGGAATTTTCAACAATTTCGCACTAGGGCGTTTGGGTAATGATTGATAATCACTGATCAGGTCAGCAGATCCGAGTTGGGTTGATCGTGTTACTGCGATGATTCCCTCAGGACGTGTTGCAGTGAAAAGAGGCAAGTTCCAGCAGGGAGCTCTGTTTGTTTGTTTGTTTGTTTGTTTGTTTGTTTGTTTGTTTTTTTTTTTTTTCTCTCTATTCTGCTGGATGTGTCGACCGCAACGCACGTGCTCCATTCTGTTCCCCCCTGCCCTCTCTCCCTCCACCCTACTACCACCCAAACAGTTTTACCGTGACACCTCTGCAAGTAAATGCCAATGCCGGGAGTGGAAGGGGGCACGACCAATAGCACACCCTGCATTCCGCCCAACCTCACTTCTCCCTTCCCATCGCAGTTTTACTGTGACGCCTCTGCAAGTAAATGCCGCGAGCGAAAAGAAGCAGTGGCAGTGACGGACGTGAGCTTTATCAACGTGAAGGGCACGGCCAACGGCACACACGCCATTCTCTTCAACTGCAGCCGATCCGTCCCATGCACCTCCCTGCTGGTCTCTGGGATTGCCATCGCCCCATCTGCCAACCGAGCCAGCACCCTCTTTCAGGCTGCTGCTGCAGCCTCTATGCTCTTCTCCTCCTCCTCCGCTTCCTTTTCCTCCTCTTCCTCCTCCTCCCTCTCCTCCTCTCTCCATGCCTCCTCTGCTGCTTTTGACCCAGACGTGCGACCTCTCTTCCCTCATCTCTCCTCTTCATCCACCTCCTCCTCCTCCTCCTCCTCCTCCCCCTCCTCCTCCTCCTCCTCCTCCTCCTCCTCCTCCTCCTCCTCCTCCTCCTCCTCCTCCTCCTCCTCTTCTGTCTCCTCCTCTTCCTCCTCCTCCCTCACCTCTCTCACTCAAGTGCCTCCTCTTCTCACGGAGTTCATTTCAGCCTATGGCGTCACTACAGGCCTCCTTTTTCCCACTCCCAAGGTACAGATGTTTATTCACAAACACACACACACGCGCGCGCGCACACACACACACACACACACACACACACACATACACACACACACACACACACACACGCCTTAAAATCTTCCATTTCAAACTTCCTTTTCAAACTCCCCATCCCAATCTCAACAGGTGAGTGGATGGGCCTCCCTCACCCCACAGCCGTACACCCCTTTGAACAGCGCCTTACTTTCAAACACGCCCTAAAATCTCCCATTTGAATCTCCCATTTCAAACTCCCATTTCAAACTCCCCATCCCAAACTTCGCAGGTGAGTGGATGGGCCTCCCTCACCCCAAAGCCGTACACCCGCTGGCTAATCAACTCCATGGCAGCCCAGTGCGGGTGAGTGGGTTAGAGTCATCACTGTAACCAGGAGTGTGAATCACAAGCACAGTGAGTCGACCAAAAAACACCCGACCTCTCACCGCAAAGCCGTACACCCGCTGGCTAATCAACTCCATGGCAGCCCAGTGCGGGTGAGTGTCGCACAAGCACAGTGTGCATGGGAGTCACCTTCTCCTCTCCTGTCAATCTCCCCTTCAAGCCCGCTAGACAACACCTCTGCATTTGAGTTGACTCAAAAGCAGTGCGGGTGAGTGAGTGTGTCAGAGGCAGAAGCAGAGTGAGCATGGGAGTCACTCTCTCCTCTCCTGTCAATCTCCCCTTCGAGCCCACTAGGCAACACCTCTCCCTGAAACACCTCACTTCTCCCCTCCTTCCCTTCCCTCCTCCTGCGCCCTGGTTCTGTTCCCTCCTGCTGCTCCCTTCTCCCAGCGTGACAAGTCGAATTTTCTCCCCATCTCTCCCATTTCCTTCTCGCGCCCTCCCTTGTGCAGGTCTGAGCGAGTTTCCTTCCCCCCCTTCCCTCCTCCTGCTTCCAAGGCCCCAACACCCAAAACCCCCACACCAAAAAGACCTTCCCCAGTTGCACCTACCCCCAAGCGCCTAAACACACCACCACAAAAGCCTTCCCCAGTTGCACCTACCCCCAAGCATCTAACCACACCACCACAAAAGCCTGCACCAGTTGTACCTACCCCCAAACGACTGCCCCCACCCCCTGGTGGTTCTTTCAAGTCAAGACAGCAAAGGCCGCCCATCTCTCCTCCTTCAGCTGCCACGTCATCACATCTGTTCCCTCGTGTTGAATCATCATCCCCCTCATCCTCGTCATCACCGCCCGCGTTCCCATCGTTTCCGTCTTTTGAAGAATCTCAAAGCACGTCACATCTGTTCCCACGAGCTGAAACATCGTCATACTTCTCATCGTCGGTGCCATTCTCGTTGCCATCCTCCCCCTCAGCCGAGGCTGCCCGCACACAGGTCGAAAGGGCACAAGCTTCTCACATTCAACATAGTCACACTTCTCTTAAAATCACTGTCAACAGTCACGTTCGGTCCTCCAGACGTGTGGATGTACATGCATCAGCTTCCATCCCCCCTCCTCCTCCCCCGATTCCTCGTACGTCTCCTTTTTCTCCCCCGGATTCCCCTTCCACTCGTTATTCCCCTCCCCCCCCACCTCCCATATACTCTCCATCGGTAAAAGCCCCACCACATTAAGTACAAAGTGCCTGTTCTTACCCCTGAATATCTCATCTAACAGTTAACTAGTAGTGGTATTGTCACGCGCTCAAAATAGTATGTTCCACGTAGCCACGGCTCTCCTCTCGAGAGCAGGGCTATTCATAACGTGGATCATGCAATAAGGGAACAATAAATGGGCTGGGTGCGTCATTCCAATATTGTGTTGTATTTTGTGGTATTTATTACATATTGCAGAATGGCAAGCAATGTTACCTCTGAGATTGTACAAGAATTAACTAACGATGTACCTGTATGGTATGTCAGGTCGACGGAATAGTCTGCATGCCCAGATGCTGCCCATGACCCCAAGTGTAAGGATTTTTCTCGACATTCCTTACCGCGACCAGCAACATCGCGTACAGCAGCAGCCGTTGTTCGCCCGTTAGTGCTAACGGGGCTTCGCCAACTTCGCGCGCACTGTTTCACCAAACCATGCACCGCTGGCCCGGCCGAGTTGGCCTACGCTTCGGGACTAGCCCGAACCTCGATGCCAGCCTAGCACTAGCTAGCTCGCACGCACCGCGTAACCGTTGCATGTTTTTCGCACATACCGTCTTCCCCCGGATAAAAGACCCTAGGGTCTTCTATTGATTTCATAAAAAAAATGTGGGGGGTCTTATTAAATTGTATAGACTTGATCAGATCCGGGTCTTATTAGAAGTGCTATGTTTTTCTGAATGCAATGAAATACAGGGGTGTTGTAATGCTGTGCTACATTTTTTAAACGGGGAAACACCACGCATGCCTTCGCTCATGCTTTCGCTCATACTTTCTATCTTTTGCCCACATAGTGCAATCCTCACTATCTCGTTCCATTGCACTCGTAACACCAAGCCTCTGTTATGTTCACTAATTTTATGCTTAACCCTACCCCCCTTCATGCTGGTTAACATTTTGAGATGTCTCAAAACTATGCTTGAACCCTACCTCTTCATGCTGATATACGGATGCCATTCTTCCGGTGTAGCAGAATGGGTATCAAAAGCCTAAGATTGGTTAGTACGGTACTTCTTCAGCGCTCCATGTCCCCTAAAGCTTGTACTCTTCAAACTCTGATACGGTAGTAGCCGCTGCTGGGGGCTCACAAGCAAACGAGCTCCCTTGAATTCCTTCCCTGGCCTCAAAGCGTAACCCAGCCAAGAGAAACTCTTGCACATCCATGACTCTTTTAGGATACCCCTCTGTCAATTATATGCATGTTGTATCTGGTTAGGCTGTAGTGGGGTAGCTAATGTAGGGTACAACCCCTTAGGGTTCTCATCCTTGTACCCAAACTTTCTCGATAGTCATCCACCTACTCTAACATGGTATTAAGAGCACTTAGGTCTTAGGACCTAATTTCCTAGTGGGCCCACCGTTAAATATCGTGTTTTAGGGTTTCCCCTGCCTGTCGAGCTGCCCCACCCGTCGCGCCGCCCTGCTGGCCGCGCGACGCACGTTTATTTCTCTTTTTTTTTCTCGTCACGCCGCCCTAGGGCCCGGCCCCGCCCGTCGCGTCGCCTTAGGGCCTTCGCGCCGCCCACGGGAGCCAGTCGCGCTGCCCTGCTGGCAGCGCGCGACCCCGCCTGGCCCGTCGCGCACCTGTAGAGCCCGCGAGCCGCCCTTCCCTGCCCGCTGCGCCGCCGCTTTTTGGCAGCACGCGGCTCGGCCCCGCCCTCGCGCACCCCTACGTCGCCGCGCTGCTGACACAGCCGCCCCTGGACCCTCGAGCAGCCGCCCCTGGACCCAGAGCAGCCGCCCCTGGCCCCTGAAGCAGCCGCCCCTGGTGCAGCCGCCCCTGGACCCTCGAGCAGCCGCCCCTAAACCCAGAGCAGCCGCCCCTGGCCCCTGAAGCAGCCGCCCCTGGACCCTCGAGCAGCCGCCCCTGGACCCAGAGCAGCCGCCCCTGGCCCCTGAAGCAGCCGCCCCTGGACCCTCGAGAAGCCGCCCCTGGACCCAGAGCAGCCGCCCCTGAAGCAGCCGCCCCTGGCCCCTGAAGCAGCCGCCCCTGGTGCAGCCGCCCCTGGACTCCGTGCAGCCGCCCCTGGACCCCGCGACGCCGCCCCTGGACCCGCGACGCCGCCCCTGGACCCCGTGCAGCCGCCCCTGGATCCCGAGACGCGCCTGCACCCGGTGCTGCCGCCCCTACCTCACCTCGTGCCTGCCTTCGTGCGCCTACCCTGCCGCCGCCCGCCGAGCGCCGGCCCACCACTGGTGAGCATCTGCCTTGTTCGCGTGCTGCCGCGCCATCTGCCTGTCTGCCTGCCTGCCTGCCTGCCTGCCTGCCTGACTGCCTGCCTGCCTGACTGCCTGCCTGACTGCCTGCCTGCCTGCCTGCCTGCCGCGCCTGCCCTGCCCGCGCTGCTACTGCTGCTACTGCTACTACTTCTGTTACTGCTGCTAGGCTGCTGCTGCTACTACTGCTACTGCTACTGCTACTACTGCTACTGGCGGTGGCCAGATGCAGCTCCAGCGACGTTCACACGAGTCTCTCACGCCCCAGCAGCTTAGTGAGCGGTACGCTAGTTGGGGTTGTGGCGGTAGCCGTCGTAGCTGTCACCCTGGAGCTGGTCAGTTGGGAGCGTCTAGCAGTGGCCAGCTGCAGCTGCAGCGGCGTCCACGCGAGACACTCACGTCCCAGCAGCTTCACGAGTGGTACGCTCAGAGTAGAGGGTCGAGGAGTACCGTTCGCTGCCCGTACGTCATTCGTACAGATGCTCGGACTGGTCAGGCTTGCGGGACGCTTGGTCACACACAGTCCCGCTGCTTCGCCCGTCTGAGCGACGCCTGGCGTACCGAGTTTGGCGACGAGGCTGAGCTCCCCACCTGGCTGGAGTTGCTTAGGCAGAGGGTAGATATTTTTGCTCTTGACTATGATGATATTCTCACTGCCATGTATGCATCGCCTACTAGTGCTGACGGTGCCTGTTACATGTGCGTACCGCCTGACCCAGGTATAGAGCCTGCTGCTCTAGGTGCTGGTGAGGCTGCTGCTCTAGGTGCTAGTGCGTCTCCTGCTCTAGTTGCTGGTGAGGCTGTTGCTCTAGGTGCTCGTGCGTCTCCTGCTCCAGGTGCTGGTGAGTCTGCTCTCTCTGGTACTGCGCTTGCTGAGGCCTTGTACACCTTCACACTTGACTCAGGTGCTTCCCGCTCCTTCTTTCGCGACAGCACCACCCTCACGCCGCTCAGTCGGCCGGTTCCAGTCTCCCTGGCAGACCCCTCTGGGGGTCCAGTCCTTGCGCACTCCTCCACGGTACTGCCGTGTCCGGCGGTCCCGTCTGGCTCCCTGTCAGGTCTTCACCTCCCCTCGTTCTCTACGAACTTGGTGGCGGGTTCTGCGCTCCAGGACGCGGGTGTTCACCAGTTCACCCCGGCCTATGAGCGTGTCACACACTGCACGTGTGCTCAGACGGGTCGTCACCTGGCTACCTTCACTCGGCAGCCGGGGTCGAACCTGTACACACTGACCACTGAGTCCCTCAGGTAGCTGCGTCTGTGTCTGCGTCAGGTCAGCTAGCGACCCCCTGCTCGTGTCGTGCTTTGTCGCACCAGACCCTCCTTTGGCACCACCGCCTTGGTCACCCCTCGGTGCAGCGCCTTCGTAGCATGCACCGCCGTGTCCTTGTCTCTGGTCTTCCCAGGGTTCTCCCTCCCCTCCCACCCTTGCCTGCTCCTCCCTGTCTTCCCTGTGCCGTGGGGCGACAGCGCGCCGCTCCTCACTCCTCCTCGTTCCCTCCCACAGAGGCTCCCCTGGAGACTCTACACCTGGACGTGTGGGGCCCAGCCCGCGTCCGTGGACAGGGCCACGAGCGGTACTTCCTGCTGGTCGTCGACGACTACACGCGTTACACCACGGTCTTCCCCTTGCAGCGCAAGGGGGATGTCCCTGATGTTTTAATCCCTTGGATCCGCGCTGCCTGTCTCCAGCTCCGCGAGCGGTTCGGGAGGGAGTTTCCCGTCCTGCGTCTGCACTCTGACAGAGGTGGTGAGTTCTCCTCAGACCTCTTGGCAGCCTTCTGTGCGGAGCACGGCATCCTCCAGACGTTCACGCTTCCGGCCTCTCCGCAGCAGAATGGGGTTGCTGAGCGCCGCATTGGCTTAGTCATGGAGGTCGTTCGTACCTCCATGATCCATGCGGCTGCCCCCCATTTTCTGTGGTCGTTTGCGGTCCGGTACGCCGCACATCAGCTCAACCTCTGGCCCCGTGTCTCCTTGCCGGAGACCTCGCCCACACTGCTGTGGACGGGGAAGGTTGGCGATGCGTCGCATTTCCGGGTCTGGGGTGCTCGTGCCTTTGTCCGCGATGCCACCGCGGACAAGCTCTCCGCCCGCACTGTTCCCTGTGTCTTCCTTGGCTTTGTCCCTGACGCGCCTGGTTGGCAGTTTTACCACCCCACCTCGCGCCGTGTCTTCCCCTCTCAGGACGTCACGTTCGACGAGTCGGTTCCCTTTTACCGTCTCTTCCCCTACCGCACTGCCCCTCTCCCCCCCCCGCCGCTCTTCCTCGCTCCAGGTGCTCCCCAGGTAGACCCCCTCCCCGCTCCCGGTCCTGCTCCTTCAGGTGTGTCTCAGGTAGACCCTCCTCCCTTGATTGCGCCGGTTGAGGTCACTGGTGACTCAGGTCCTGCTGAGGGTGGTCCTGCTCGGGGTGCTGCTTCTGGGGGTGCTGAGCCTGGGGGTGCGGAGCTTGGGGGTGCTGGTCCTGGGGGTGCGGCGCCTGGAGGTGCTGAGCCTGGGCGTGAGGAGTCTGGGGGTGCTGAGCCTGGGGGTGCTGAGTCTGGGGGTGCTGCACCTGGAGGCGCTGCGGTGACTGGTGAGCAGTCTCCCTGGAGCGGCCGTCTCCGTAGTCACTCTACTGGTGCCTCGCCGCTGCACTCTCGTCGTCGTCTCCCTCTCTCCACACAGCAGCTGCGTGAGTGGTACGCTAGTCGTCAGGGTCGTGCTGCTGGAGCTAGGGGCCCTGCTGCGGGAGGC